CGTGCTCAATTGGGGATAAGTCGGGAGATCTTGGTGGCCATGGTAACAATGTGACATCATTATGTTGAAAGGAGTCTATTGTGACTCTTGCAACATGTGGTCGGGCATTACCTTGTTGGAAAGTTGGATCTGCAGGGTGTCAAGATAGGGTAAAAGATGGGGTTCTAGAACTTCGTTGATATAACGCTGCGCGTTCATGTTACCTCTGATGAAGAATAAAGGTGACCTGGAACGATAAGCTATAGCACCCCAAACCATAACTCCAACAGTGTGATGAACATGTCTTTCAACAAAAAACTGTGGATTCCTCCTTTCACCACGTCGCCTTCTAACCCTGGCACGACCATTGTGCATGCCCTTAACAAAATCGAGACTCGTCACTAAAGACAATACTGTTCCATTCCTGTTCCCAGAGTGACCGTTGTCTGCACCACTCAAGGCGATTACGTCGGTGTTCTCGAGTTAAAGGGAGGACCCAGTGTGGCCGGTGTAGTATATTGAATGAATAAAAGATCTATTCCCCCGCTGGGTGAACGACGGAGACGGAGTTGCCGTCTTATCAGCGAGTCAGTCGGTCGAGCACACCCGCCGGGAGAAGGTCGTACCGAGATATCTGTGTATCATTGTGTGACTGGAAACGAACGTAAATAATAATATTATCTACACGACACGTCAGCAAGCAGTGCAGAACTAAGAAGGGGAAAAGAAGAACACACTATGAGAGCACAACGGTCAAGAAATCAAGATACAGAGAGCCAGACAAGGACGACGACGATCACAACACAAACTATGTGTTCCACATTGACAATGATTGTGACATATTATGTATGATTGGAGGAATACCAGTTCAGATGGTAATCGATTCTGGTAGCATGTGTAACATATTAAATGACGAAACATGGACGTACCTAAAGAATTCGCAGGTATCGGTGTCAAATCAAATAAAACGACCCAAGAAAATTCTCATGGCTTATGCTAGCAAAGAACCGTTAACTATTCTTGGGTGTTTTGATGCTGAGATTAAGGTAAGCAAGTTTGTAACGTAGTACAAAATGGTACGAGAAACCTTTTAGGAAAAGATACAGCGAAGTCTTTAGGTATCCTACGGATTGGAATTTCTGCTCAATCAGAGGTTAATGCCATATCTGCTTTTCCCAAGTTTAAAAATGTTGTAGTCGATATTCCCATTGATCAGAGCATAAAACCAGTGATTCAGCCATATTGCAGGATACCAATCCCCCTGGAAACCAGAGTGCTTAAAAAAATTGAGGAAATGGTAAATTCAGACATAATTGAACCAGAAGATGGCCCTTCCAGATGGGTATCACCTATGGTACCTATTCTAAAACCAGATGGGGAAGTTAGACTTTGTATCGATATGAGAAGAGCAAATATGGCGATACTAAGAGAAAATCATCCATTACCAACAATGGATCAGATGATGCCAAACTTCAGAAAAGCAAGACTTTTTTCGAGGCTGGACGTAAAAAATGCTTTCCATCAAATCGAAATTAGCGAAGCATCGAGACCTATTACTACATTTATATCTAGCAAAGGCCTTTTCAGATATAAGCGTTTAATGTTTGGTATTTCGTGTGCCCCAGAAATTTTCCAAAAAATAATGGAACGCATTCTGACTCACTGCGAAGGAACTGTAAATTTCATAGACGACATAGTCGTATACGGCGAAAACGAACTGGAACATAATAGAAGATTGAAATTTACACTCAATATTTTGAAAGAAAACAATGTCCTTCTCAATGAGAATAAATGTGTTTACAATATTGCTGTCATAAAATTTCTGGGACACGAACTATCAAGACAAGGCATCAAGCCGCTTGATAAATACATATCGGTAATCAAAACTTTTCGATGCCCGGAAACTGTGGACGAGTTTTCTAGGACTTGTTAATTATATAGGTAAATGGATCGCTAATTTAGCGTCTATGACAGAGCCTCTAAGGAAATTATTGGGACTAAAATTAGCAAAACATGCAAATATATCCAAGTATTTTAAGGATGAACAAAAATGCAGTTTTAACCTGTTGAAAGAATGCTTGTGTAAAATTAAATCGTTAGGATACTATGACCCTAAAGACAGGACTCAGGTTATAGCCGATGCAAGTCCTGTAGGGCTGGGGGCTATCCTAATACAGTACGATTCAGAAGGACCAAGGGTAATTGCTTATGGGAATAAAAGCTTGTCTGATTGTGAAAAAAGATATTGTCAAACAGAGAAAGAAGCCCTGGCATTGGTCTGGGCAGTTGAACATTTCCATATATATCTACGTTATATGGAAAGGACAAGTTCGAGTTGGTTACAGATCATAAACAGCTCGAAGTAATTTTTAGTATAAAATCAAAACCTTGTGCCCGAATAGAGCATTGGGTTTTGAGGCTACAGTCGTACAACTTTGTAGTTATATATCGTCCAGGTAAAAGCAATATTGCCGATCCCCTCTCCAGGCTTGGTAAATTAGCACCAAAAGAAAATTCTTTTGATGAGGGGGAGCATATCCATCAAATTGTAGAATATTCACGACCCATGGCATTATCATTATCACAAATCAAAGAAAAATCCAACACCGACGAAGAAATTCGCAAGGTTTACAAAATGATTTACTCAAACGAATTCGATGAAAAAACAAAACCCTTCCAGGCATTCATACCAGAGTTGTGTTTCTATGACAACATCCTTCTAAGAGGAACCAGAATAGTGATTCCTGCTGATTTAAGACTTGCAGTTCTTCAAGCAGCCCACGAAGGCCATCCGGGAATAGTGGGAATGAAGAACCGTTTACGTACTAAAGTTTGGTGGCCTAAAATGGACACATGCGGAGAAGTTCGTAAGAGCCTGTAAATGCGCCCACCCCAATGAAGCGACGTGAACTACCTACAGAATCATGGATTGACGTTGCGGTAGACTTCCTAGGCTCTCTACCGAGTGGCCATTATCTATTTGTGGTCATCGACTACTTTAGTCGTTATAAAGAAATAAAAGTTATGAAGTCCATAACAGCATCTAATACAGTTAGCTGCCTCAAAGAAATCTTCTCTAGATTAGGTTTCCCAGTTTCGATTACAGCAGATAATGGAAAGCAATTTATTTGTGAGGAAATCACACAATTCTGTAAGGATGCAGGAATTAAGGTATATAACACGATACCATACTGGCCCCAGCAGAATGGACAAGTCGAGCGACAGAATAGAGACATTTTAAAAAGGCTCAAAATCAGTCGAATACAGAAAACAGACTGGAAGCAGGACCTGTTGGATTACCTAATGATGTATAACGCAACACCACATACAACAACAGGAAAACCGCAGAACTTTTCTTTAGGAGGCAATTCCGAGACAAAATACCAGCAATTCCAACTTTGAACAGTTCTATCGTAGACGAAGAAACTCGAGACAATGATTTGATGAACAAATTTTGGGGCAAGAAATACAGCGACGCCAAAAGAAAAGCAAAAGCGGATGACATCCGAATAGGAGCTAAAGTTTAGGTAAAAAATACAGTAAGAGAAAATAAGTTGGTACCAAATTTCAACTCAACCCCTCACACGGTGGTAAAGAAAAATGGTAGTGACGTCCAAGTAGAAAACGACGAAACTGGCCAGCAATACAGACGTAATGTCGTCCATTTAAAAAAGACAGAGGGGCAATGGAAAGTAATAAAAACTGCAAGGGATGAGGAAACTTCACTTGAGCAAAATAATGAACACCATACTTAAGTCGTAACATTGTACATTTCACACACAGGCCATTAAATAAGATTATATATTTTCAGCTAGGTATTAAGTTGTCATTGTTAGTTAGTAAGGTAGTACTTTAGTTTGTTTGCATTCAAACAATATAGGGTAGTTATAACTGATTTGTTACTATATATGTAAAATAATTTAAACAAAGAAGGGATGTAGTATATTGAATGAATAAAAGATCTATTCCCCCGCTGGGTGAACGACGGAGACGGAGTTGCCGTCTTATCAGCGAGTCAGTCGGTCGAGCACACCCGCCGGGAGAAGGTCGTACCGAGATATCTGTGTATCATTGTGTGACTGGAAACGAACGTAAATAATAATATTATCTACACGACATTACAGCCGGTATGAAAACAAAACTTCTCATTCGTCGGTAAACACTTCGCATGCCAATAGGTCTTCCGTGTTCTGCAAACCATTCATTTGCAATGGACCTGGTAGTGGAGAAACGGTCCCTTAAGGCCAATAATCTTAGGCGGCGATCTTCACGGTCTGTTGTTCTACGGCGGCGTCCAGTGCCCCTTGCTCTTTACGTACGGCCTTCTCGAAGCCATGCCTGACAACACCTAACCACAGTGTCTACACTTCTTTGCACTCTAACTGCAATTGCCCGAAAAGAAAGTCCAGCTTCCCGAAGTCCCACTATACGGCCCCTATCAAACTCACTAAGTTGACGAACTCGTACAGGTCTCCGTACTCTAGGCATCGTAACCGATCGTAAAGGATGTCAGGAATCAAAATCCGCCAACGTTGATTCTTTACTGCGGCTGAAATATTCATTTTTAGAGCGTTAGTAAATTAAAAAAAAGCAGTATAAAAACCGGAATGTCTAACTGATAAGGCTGAAAATTTTTTCACTTGTTATTTACAGTAAGATAAATACATTCACCAACTTTTATTAAAATAAAACCATTTAAACTGGGTATTCGGATTTATATGTCACTTAGTATATTACCATCCGAAAAGTATAAATACCTTTCAGTCCAATGTCTCCCTTCTTCAGCAATATATCTGTAGCCATGAAACGAAGTATGCAGTAAATAGTTTTTTAATATAGTCCTTACATTTGCCATTATCGAAGGAACGATGACAACTTCACTTGACCACAAACTATAATACATATGAATGTTATCAATTGTAATGACACTCGCCTTTGTGTTAAAGTCACTTAATAATTCAACTCGTTTTCCACATTACCAGCCATATCTCAATCAGGAATCAATGAAATGAAAGAATCAGTTCAAAGCCACAAAATATATATTTCTACAATGATAATACTACAAAACATGTCATTAACAGTAAATCGTTACTGAGCTTTTTTATCTTTGGCCATCTGCATTTCCAAAGAACAATTGACGTTTCTCTTCACAACTCGCTTTTGTTTTCGATCTCTGTTGACGACGATTTTGCCTATAAAAATGGAAAAAGTTCATATCATTATAACTTAATTTTTTACAAATTGAAATAAACATGCGTCCGACCAAAGAGGGCCATATATGAATAGCTGCTTCGTGCTTTTTGGCTACTTCTCAGCAAATGAAAACATAGCAACTATACACAATCCAAAGTGCGCGATCTATAGAAATAAGATCGCCACTTACCACTAGAATCGACCACTGCAAAAGAGTAAATCGCAGCCATAAAACTATTTATTGGGTCACACTTCAACTTGACTGCATGCCGCCGAGGTGGCCGAAACGTCAGCAGATGTCTTTCAATACAACGCATATGAAAGTTTTTACCTTGGGCTCTAATATCTTCCTCATCCGTTGATGCTTCAGAACTGTCGTTATTCTCGAGCAATTCCTCGTCACTCTCAAACTCCACGTTCAGCAAGTCCTCGAATCTTTTGTAATCAAAGTTTCTCATTATTGAGTCGTTATTAGCATCTTGAGAATATTTGACGTTTTTGTAATCTTCTACGTTATCTTCGTTTGTTGAGAAGTAGTCTTCATTGCTGAAATCATAATCACATTTTGTTTTTCGTCGACGATCTTTGGTGAATTGATATAAAGTTATTTTTTATTCCTGAGTTGTTGATATACATTTGTTCTAACCTCCTTAAACCGAGTTTCTTCGAGGAAATATAATGAAAAGTTCAGGTGAATTTCCACTTATTTTTTCCAATGTTCTTTGAGCTTCAATTACTGACAGTGGTTATTTTGATGGACATCCTACAAATTTATTAAAACTAGATAAGTTGTACCTATCATTGACGTTTTCGTTTCCAAATCCACTGGACTCAAACTGCTCAGAGGGCACATTTTCGAATCCTTCTGTATCATTAGTGCTTGCAAAGCTGTCTGTTGTATCTCGAGAAACTATCATCTCCTCATTTTCAGCACTTGCGAAAGATTGTAAACTTTTATCGAGTTCGTCTACATTGCTGGTTTTAATACCTACTTGCGAAGGCTGTAAAAATACAAATTTTCAATATCAGAATTATAACGAAAAGCTTCCACTACAGCTTAACACGTCAAAAATTGACAATAAATAATCGCAGTTCATTTATTTGTTGTTGTTGAAGATTTATTTAGCATTAATGCTACAATGTCAATTTTGTATAATGATTCGGTTACATATTTTTCTTCAATCCATTTTCTGTAATTTTACATTCTTGTCTATTAAAATTAAAATTAAAACTACGTCACTAAGTATTTTTATTATTCATAAAGTGATTTTTTAATTTTATCTTAAACATTTTTAAATTCGAACACTGTTTAATATCATTATTCAATTTATTAAATTGAAATACTCCCTTTTGAAATATAGATTTACTAGTTAAGCTACTATTACAATTTTGCAGATGAAAATCTATACTGATGATGAAATCGAGAACTAAATAATATATGAAATTTTTCACATCCAGCCACTGCAGTTCTTCTAACTAGACTTAATCCTAGAATATTTGTTTTTGTTTAACATGAGTCTCATCGCTTTATTTTGTAGAATTTGTAATTTTGAAAATATGTTTTCATTTGCTGCAAACCAGATGGTTGAACAATATGAAAAATGGCGAAGAATTATAGTGTTACACACAATTCCTTTGGAACACATACTAAGATTATGGGCAACTCTATAGAAGTAATTTATCTCTTTCGATATTTTTGAAATAATGTATTCATAATTTTCATGAAACAGTAGCTGACTATCCACATATATACCAAGATATTTAAACGACTCGACTTCAATTTTTTCATCATTAGAGCCTAATAATTGTGTTGTGACCTAAATGTTTCCATATTGACATACATTTGGTTTTATTAGTGTTTAATTTAAATTTATTGAGGTTTAACCAATTCATAGTTCCTTTAATATCACTATTTAACAGTTCTAAAGCAGTGTCCAAATGCTTATGTGCTATATATATATATACAGGGTGGCCAAACACGTGACGTCATAAAAAAAAATTAGATTCCCCACATCGAGAGGAACCCAAATCACCCCCATATATATGGTCCGATTTTGTTTAGTTTAGGAGTTATGATTTTTTTTCGGATTTTTCGAGAATTTTTGAGTTCTGTGTTTATTTTTACCATAACTTCGTTAATAATTGTGATAAATGCCTGCTTTTTTCACAATTATGTAGCTAAGACCTAAGGCTTAACTATCATATAATCATTCAAGTCATGTAACTAATACTACTTTTTAATTTTTTTCAAAATCTTCGAACATAACAAAAAAGTAAAAAAGTGCAACAACTTTGAACGTTTATAAAAAATTGAAAAAGCATGTTCTTACTATTCGTAAGTATCTTAAAAACTTCCTTACGGTATCAGCTATTTACCGTAAAAATTTCATCAACCTAGCTTTACTACAAGCTACCGTAATTATGGCTCAAATAGAACCGAACCCAAAATTGGATAACCCTCTGCTCAATAGAAATTGTTAGTTTCGGAAAAAAAATTTGCAAAAACCACAAAAACACATTTGATTTTTACTGAACAGCAGATTATTATTCATTTATGTTATTTACAAGAGGTTTTCAAAATGTCTGCCTCTAACAGAAATGCACAGTGTACACCTACGTATGAAATTTTGTTTTAAATCTCTAAATGCTTGTGTGTTGTTTTTCAACACATGTGTCGCTTCTTGAATTTTGTTCCTCAATGAATTTTCATTTGCACATTCTTGGGCGAATGTTATGTCTTTAAAATATCCCCAAACAAAAAAATCAATGGGGTTGAGGTCAGGGGAGCGTGGAGGCCATCGTATCGGTCCGTTTCGTCCGATCCATCTGTCTGGGAACCTTTCGTTTAAGTAGTTTCGCACGATCGTTGCGTTGTGGCATGGTGCACCATCATTCTGGAACACCATGTTCCGTCTGGCTTCCAGGCTTGAATCTTCCAGCAATAATGGTAGGCTATTTTCAAGGAAGCTTTTGTAGGCTACCGAATCCAACCTTGACGGCAGTTCAAATGGACCGATAAATTCCATATTGAATATTCCTGACCACATGTTCACACTAAAACGGTGTTGAAATGTCGACGGCCTTGACTGGTGGGGGTTTTCAACAGCCCAAGTATGTAAATTATGGATATTGAATATCCCTGTTCTTTCAAAACGTGACTCGTCAGTCCATAAAATTTTATCAAAAAAATCGGGATCCTCTCGTTGTCTTCGCAGCATTGTCTCGCAGAAATCCACTCTTAACTGGTAATCTGAAGGCATCAACGCTTGAACTCTTTGAACATGATAGGCATGATAACCTTCTTCATGAAGAATATTTTGTATCGATGTTCGTGGTATTCTAAGGTTTTGTGCCATAGATCTCGTACTCGTTGAGGGATTCCGGCTAATTTCTCTGCTTTGCATACTGATTTGGACTTTGTTTGCTAAGAAGTTTGTGATGCATTATACGTTGCGTGAATATGCAGAAATGCATTATTATTATGGCGTTGCTCAAGGCAACGGCGCTTTAGCAGCTCAGCTGTACGTATCGGCGTATAAGTTGTTCCCGAACTTATACGCCGAGGCGGACCACAACCTGAGCATTACCCAGTCCACCGTGTTTTTATTAACACACATAACACTTTCATGGCAGGACGGAACATGGTGTTCCAGAATGATGGTGCACCATGCCACAACGCAACGATCGTGCGAAACTACTTAAACGAAAGGTTCCCAGACAGATGGATCGGACGAAACGGACCGATACGATGGCCTCCACGCTCCCCTGACCTCAACCCCATTGATTTTTTTGTTTGGGGATATTTTAAAGACATAACATTCGCCCAAGAATGTGCAAATGAAAATTCATTGAGGAACAAAATTCAAGAAGCGACACATGTGTTGAAAAACAACACACAAGCATTTAGAGATTTAAAACAAAATTTCATACGTAGGTGTACACTGTGCATTTCTGTTAGAGGCAGACATTTTGAAAACCTCTTGTAAATAACATAAATGATGCTGTTCAGTAAAAATCAAATGTGTTTTTGTGGTTTTTGCAATTTTTTTTTCCGAAACTAACAATTTCTATTGAGCAGAGGGTTATCCAATTTTGGGTTCGGTTCTATTTGAGCCACAATTACGGTAGCATGTAGTAAAGCTAGGTTGATGAAATTTTTACGGTAAATAGCTGATACCGTAAGGAAGTTTTTAAGATACTTACGAATAGTAAGACCATGTTTTTTCAATTTTTTATAAACGTTCAAAGTTGTTGCACTTTTTTACTTTTTTGTTATGTTCGAAGATTTTGAAAAAAATCAAAAAGTAGTATTAGTTACATGACTTGAATGATTATATGATAGTTAAGCCTTAGGTCTTAGCTACATAATCGTGAAAAAAGCAGGCATTTATCACAATTATTAACGAAGTTATGGTAAAAATAAACACAGAACTCAAAAATTCTCGAAAAATCCGAAAAAAAATCATAACTCCTAAACTAAACAAAATCGGACCATATATATGGGGGTGAATTGGGTTCCTCTCGATGTGGGGAATCTAATTTTTTTTTTATGACGTCACGTGTTTGGCCACCCTGTATATATATATATATATATATATAAGTGTATCGTCCGCAAATATTTGAATTTTGCAGTGTTCTAAAATGTCAGAGATATCATTTATATAAATAATAAAAAGTATCGGCCCTTATTTACTCCCCTGTGGCACCCCTACTGATATATTTTGAACACATATAAATGATTTACCTGCCATAGTCAAAAAATGCAAAATTGAGATTTTCGCCGATGACACTATGATTTATGTAAGTACTAAAAATATCCAGTCTGGTATCTCTTATATAAATGAAGACTTGAAGCTTGTCTCAAAATGGTTAGCATCTAACAGACTAAAATTAAATGCAAGAAAAACGAAAGCCTTGTTAATCGGAAAAAAACAATGTACAAATGTTCAACTGAATATTGATGGTGAAGATATTGAATTCGTAGAAAATTTTAAATACCTGGGGGTTTTTGTTGACTCTCGATTAATTTTTGATATTCATTATGAAAAAGTTATAAATAAGATTAGTAGTAAAGTGGGATATTTATCGAGAGTTTCTTGTACTATTCGACTATTCTATATTTAGCAAATAATTCCATTTTTGAAAGACTGCAAATTTTACAAAATAAGTGCATGAGAATAATACTAAATAAAGATAAATATACTCCAATTAGGCAAATGCTTAGCAAATTAAAATGGCTCAATGTAAAAATTTTTATCAAATATCTTGTAATGATATTCATTTATAAAGTAAAAAATAATATATTTCCATCAAGTCTAACTAATTTAACATCATCAAATGTCGACCATCATTTACATAATACCAGAAATAAAGATGACTTCCATTTAATGACCAAAAAGTATAACATATGCTACAAATCTGTATTCCATCAAGGGTTGATTGAATATAATAAATTATACTCGGAGATAAAAGACCAGAAAACTTTGACAAAATTTAAAGTAAAATTGAGAAATCACTTGTTAAATCTACAATTATAGGTTGCCCAGCATTTACATCATACACCATATGGCTTGAATTTACTAGTTCTAAGTTGTTTACAATTATTCTGTTTATGTAGCCAAATGTGCTAAATAAATCTTTCTACTACTACTACTACTTGACATAATATTTCCAACTTAATTTTTTTGACTTCTATTTACTAAATAATTTTGTAAAATGTGTAATACTGATCCTTTAAAGCCATAGTAACGAAATTTCATTAAAAAATTTTCCCTATCTATAGTCTCAAATGCCCTTTTGAAGTCTAAAAATATTATTACAATATATTCTTTCTTATCTATACTTCTTCTCCAGTCTTTCACCACCAGTTGGATTGCCGTTTCTGTGGAACATTTTTTTCTTAATCCAGCTTATTTTTTTATCAATATTTTGGTTTTTTCAATGAATTCTATGATTTGTTCGTATATTATCCTTTCGAACAGCTTGTCGACATCGGGCAAGACATTAATCGGTCGCATATTTGTATACAGCTGAGAATTCTGAACTTTTGGCACATGAGTAATGGTGGAACACTTTAATTTTGATGGGAATTCACCATGTACTAAACAATGATCCACCAATAATAATAATTTCTCTCCAATTATATTGAAACAATCATTTAGAATATTTTTTGAGAGATTCTCATTTTAGTGACATAAAAAATACCCAATATTGTCAAGTGACAAAGGCGTACATACATCTTGTTTTTTTTTTTGACATTATGTAGGTTTTTGTGGCAATATGTGGGTTTTTGTGACATTATGTAGGTTTCTATAACCTTATGTAGGTGTTCCTAAGAGATGTCAACTAGGATCTAGCTATCATTAACTTCATGCTCACTTGTAGCAGGCGCGGAATGATCTATTTGTACGCCACCAGTTAGATCGTCAACTAGTTGACATTTTATCGTTTTTCATGACATTGTGAAGGTTTTTTACGTTATAACCCTGCCGGTCAACTGGATGAGTTGCTAACTACTACATGTCAAGCCAGCTACGGATTATCTGATTTTAATTAGCAAAAATAGGAAAAACGCTGGTAAATGATATGACTGAAATGTTTGTTGATTTTGATAGCTACGAAGCAAGCCTACTGGATAATGATGAAGTTTGCATGAAAGAAGCTACAGTCAAGACAACAATTTATAAAAGGAAAAATCCGACACCTAGGTGGCTGTGAAAAATAAAAGCCATGACAATTGTTTTTATTAATCACAGCTGTCAGAATACGTTTAAAATAGTTTTGGGTAGTTAAGGTTTTTAAAATGGGTAGAGGAAAGCTTATTAGTGAGAAAATTCGCTTACTGATAATTAAATTTTTTAATTCTGGGAAATCAAACTCAGAAATTGCAACTTTGTTGGACTCATCGCGGTACAGTGTGAGAAATATTGTTAGAAGATATAACGTAGAAGAATTTCAGCCGTAATAAAAGAGAAAGGTGATGTTACCCAATGGTAATCTTTCAATTGTTGCTTTCTTAACTTCGCGCATTTATTCGCACATTGTTTATTTGTTCAGATGTTCTATTAGTTATAGCTCTAAGTGATTTCAAATATGTATTTTTCACGACTGAGTGTATCTAAAATGTTTTTGAGAAAATAAATTGTTTTAGAAGTAAATATTTTCGTCATGTTTAGTTTATAAAGGCATATTTTGGTACAAATATTGAAGTGCTCCAACTGAAGTGGGAAGGGGCTCGTACACAAGATCAAGAAACCAATATGTAGCAGTTCTACGAGATGAGAAGAATACCAATACCAAAATTGATGTCAGTAAAACTAATAGCGAACAGATTTGTAGAATATTGAAAAAGGAATTCGTTATCTAAAATGAAGTTCGACGATGGTGACAATATAAAATTGTAAATATATTTGAATAAAAAAATCAGTCTCATCAATTAATTTACAGATCTCGTACTAGGTATCGCTAATGATAGCCATCATATAAAACTATTTAATATTCCAAAAAAACATTGACAGATTCCCTAGGCATTGAAAATACTAATTCAGATGAGTAGATGGTTCATGTCGTTATGATTAAATAACATTTTGGTTACCTGTAGATCAATCTTACTAATTTCGCCAGGCTTCGCGGTCTTCATGAAATCCTCTTCTTCTTCGCTTGTTTCTTCCAGAACAACACCCATGTCGGCGAAATGTTTTCTGAAAACCTCGTTATCCATTTCATCGAACGACCTCTTTGGTCTAGGCACCCTCTTGTACACCTCTTGCTTCTTGAAAATCTTGTCTTGCATGCCCATCAGCTTATCAATCACCTAAAATTTGTTGGATCAATCATCAAACGATGCTATTTTTCTCCTTTTCAGTAGTCAATTTTAGTTATTTTATTTTTTCCAAAATATCGCAGTGAGCCATGAAATTTTTTCTCAAGTTTCGCAACGGCATGTAAATACGCCCCAAAGAACGAAACGTTTTCCTGATTTAACTCAAGATGAATCTTCCACAGGTATTTAGATTCTCATGCGTATGATCCTCGTCTTAAACACCCTGTATATTCTAGATAATGTTAAGCCCTCCATCAACTTACGTCGATTTAAAGTAGTTAGGAAGCCGGAAGTTTAGAAAAACAAGCATTAGATGCTTTTGGCTACTTCCTACTGGATGACATGCAAAATCGAAGCTTGGACACGTTGCATTATTTTTTGCTCTCAACAATGCCGGTTCGGGAGCGATTCGGAACATTATTTACTGAGATTATGCTACGTTTTTCGTACTCGGTGGTGCCTAACACGTAATTGCCATGAGTACCGTGGGACAATAGGGTGCACCCGGGGGAAAGGGGACATCACACGGATTCTAGAGCATGCACACATTCTGGTTCCACCTTAGAGATCCACTAAGTTGTGCCTTCAAGCCAAATATATGTCTATACCTGTTGTTCTTTTGCTATAGCATCATCGTATTCCTTGATAACGGCGTCCTTAGCCATTTTAGATTTCTTCTTAAATTCTTCAAACTGCTTGTTGAACTGTGAGACATGTTCTCTAGCCTCAGAAATTTTGTTGCAAACGATCAGGCTATTCTCTACTTCAGTTTTCTCTGGAGCTTCAGTTTGAACATCCATCATTTCATCTTGATTTTTGTGGAATACTGGGTAATTTTTGGACATGGTCAGTTTCTTGTGGACTAGCGGTGGTTGAACGTCTTCTGGATTACCTCCACCTAAAATTTAAAAGAGTTTTTCGAAAATTTTCAAAGTGGTAAGTATATCTTTGATGCTGCTACTACAGTTCTCTGTAGTGTATTTAGAGTACTAAATCTGAGCATTTAGAAGATACATTCGCTATGAGAATACAGGGTGTTTCAGTTTATTGTTGCATAACTTTAAGTTTAGATAGAACTTTTAAAATTAATGCATAAAGTCTATATAAACATGGGTCGAAAAATGCGTGGCTTCCGAAATACAGGGTGTTTAAATTTATTTTCTAAAATAGTTTTTTTTAAATATTTCGAACAATATTTGATGTATAACAGTGAAAATTGGTATACAAGGGTTTTTTGGTACGACAAAACGAACCATGGGCATAGTTTTACTGTAGCCGCTAGAGGACGCTCTCTACTGTACCTGTAGTGTATTAAAATGACGAAATTTTTTTCTTAGTGCAACTTTTTGCTTTTTGAATAAAAAAACTGATTCTTCGCACTTTTCAACATAAAAAGCTCTTTTGTGAATTTTCGTTATAGTTAGCCGTTTTTGAGATATTTCGATTTTTAAGGTTCGATGCATTTTTAATTATTTATGATAAAACAACGTTAAAAAGTCAGTATCTCGATAATTTTTAGAAGTAGGCTGCGCCTGCAAATATTTTTGAAATTGAAAGCAGAATAAGGTTAAACGTGAATTAGTTGACAGTTAGTTTTGTTGTCTGTCGAAACCTGAAACGTTTTTTTGCAATTGTGAATGCACGAAATTTAGTTTCTTTTAACTGTTTTTTTTGTAAGTCTTATAAAAATGCCATTTTTATTCTCCAATCAAGAGTTAGCGGATATTCATTTTGTGTATGGCTTTGTAAATGGAAACGCAGCAGAAGCAGCCAGACGACATCCAACTCGCTCAGTATTTGTGAGAATGCATCGCCAAATAATTGAAAATGGTTTTGGAAATCTCCAAAGGGATCAAAACATAAATGTTCGTCAGCGCAGATTTACCCGTATGATTCTGCGTGAGTTTGATAGAGATCCGACCACAAGTGTTAGGAGAGTTTCTGGTGCCTTGGGAATTTCAGCAAGCCATGTTCACCGTGTTCTTAGAAATGACCATAGACGTCCTTACCAGTTGCAACCTGTGCAAGGACTACAGCCAGGGGACTGAGAACGAAGAATCACATTTTGTCAGTGGATTCTTGATAGAACTGATAATAATAGGGAGTTTTTAAGTAACGTTTTATGGACCGATGAGTCATGCTTCACTAGACGTGGGGTGGTAAATTTTCATAATCAACATATTTGGTCGCATGAAAACCCGCATGCAGTTCGGGAAAGAAAATTTCAGCATGAATTTAATGTGAACGTGTGGATTGGTATCTACCGTAATCGACTATTTGGACCCTACCTTTTGCCTGCAAGGTTAAATACTGCGACCTTCTTGGAATTTTTAAACGCTGAACATGCAAATATGTGGGATGATGTTATGTTAGATTTAAGAAGATTGGCCTGGTTCCAGCTTGATGGTTGTCCAGCTCATTATTCGAGAATAGTTAGAAACTGGCTGGACGAATATTATTCAGAAAGATGGATCGGCCGTGGAGGACCAATCGCCTGGCCTCCACGATCCCCTGACCTAAATCCATTAGATTTCTTTGTGTGGGGATTTCTAAAAGAAAAGGTGTACCAGACTCCCGTAACCACAAGAGATATGCTAATAGACAGAATCAGGAATGCATGTGATGAAATAAGGCCTTATTTGAATAATGCTATATCACGTTCGATCATTCGTAGATGTGAATTGTGTATTGAACAATTGGGTTTAGATTTTGTATGTTTGTCCTAACTATCCAATAGCATTTTAGTTGTAAATAATTAATTTAATTTGTTAAAAATAATATTGGAAAATTAAACAAATTAATATTCTGTTTTTTTTGTGTTTATTTGGAGTTAGGAATTATTGCTGTGTTTAAAAACACAATCTAAACGATCATCTTAATTACTTGTAATGCCCAAATCGAAAATGTAAAAAAAATATTATTTTCCCATAAATAATTAAAAATGCATCGAACCTTAAAAATCGAAATATCTCAAAAACGGCTAACTATAACGAAAACTCACAGGAGAGCTTTTTTATGTTGAAAAGTGCGAAGAATCAGTTTTTTTTTATTCAAAAAGCAAAAAATTGCACTAAGAAAATTTTTTCGGTCATTTTAATACACTACAGGTACAGTAGAGAGCGCCCTCTAGCGGCTACAGTAAAACTATGGTTCGTTTTGTCGTACCAAAAAACCCTTGTATACCAATTTTCACTGTTATACATCAAATATTGTTCGAAATATTTAAAAAAAACTATTTTAGAAAGTAAATTTAAACACCCTGTATTTCGGAAGCCACGCATTTTTCGACCCATGTTTATATAGACTTTATACATTAATTTTAAAAGTTCTATCGAATCTTAAAGTTATGCAACAATAAACTGAAACACCCTGTATTTTAGGGTTAAACCTCGGAGCTTGAAACTTTGATCCATTGAATGGATTCTTGAACTTTTAGTTAAATCCGATATGAAGTCGAATATATGCCAGTGTTTGAAAAGTAAATATGCTTCAATCAAAAACTGTGAGCTTTGTTGTTTCTCTAGTCTAAATAAAATTTGGACGATCCAGAGGTATTCCCATATTTCTATTTAGTTGTGAGAGTTTTGATTTGCGAACTTTTCCAGCTGCAAACTCTTGTTTACCAGCAGAAGACAATATTTTTTCAAGTGAAAGTTCCTTGATCGTACTGATAAGAAAGCCAGGAGTACTCGAACTGACAAATACCTTATTGAAATTTTTAGCATCGTGCCTGGGATATTTGAGTCGTTTATAGAGAATACAGGTCAAGTCCCTTAATATCTTTCGTCTATTCATAGATTTTCATATAAATCTCTCAAATAATTTAAAAGGTACTAGAAATATATGTATAAAAAGAAACGAACTTGAACACGCAGTATCTCAGTAACGATGGCGCAAAATACTGAAGTTTACATGAACGTTTTTGTTCAGAGTAAATAGACCCATTCTACTGGTATGTTAATAACCTGAATAATCGTATACTTTGAAATAAAAAAATAAAAGCAATAAGCATCGAAAATCTATCCAGTGGGCCTTGGTTTTGAGGTTGCAGTGTTTTTACGTCTAAATGTTCCTAGTAATATGTCAAAATTGTCGAATTATTAGATTCCGGAAAATACGAATCAAAATCGAGCAGCGCGTTCAGCGAAGAACTAGATGAAAAAACACAGTGTGCAAATGCGTCAGCCTCCAGTGCAGGTAGCGAGTACCGTGTAGGTAAACCGAGCTGTTTATAAATCGGATTTGAAAAAACGAAAATAGCACATTCCTATAGCAATAACTAGTGATTTGATATTAGATTACGGCAAGGGTCTTCAAGCTGCTGCTGATGCTTAGCGGGTACATTCATACCGTTTTCCTAGACGTTTTCATTTTGCATCGCGAAAGTTGATTTATCTTGTGCAAATACCGTTTTGTGGAAACGTAGAGTTTCCAACAGGAGAAGACCTGAGCTGATACGAATGTAGCAAATTGAGTTAGAAGACGATTTTATTTTCAAATTAAACCGGGACAAGTCCCACCGGTATAAGCAACACGTGACAGGAGTTATGTGACTGTCTTTTTGCACTTTATTAATTAATATAATAATTGCATTATATTCATTTTTACTAGCTCATCACTTTTGGTTTATACAGGGTGCGGCAGAGAGGACGGACGTTTTTGGGATGGGTAGTACTCTCCGCCTCCGTCTACGAGAGAGGTGGGGAGGGTGCCGTTTGACCCTTGAGATCCTAACATTATTTTACCAGTTGTCGTTATGGAGCCTTGAACGTGGAGCACCGCGTTTTCGCCTATGATTGTTTCGTCCGAAATAATGAGTCAGTCATCGTCGTACAACATGAGTCGCCACTTCAACATTCATCTGAATAGAGCTGTTCCCTCTCGAAACACCATCCTTCGTTGGGTTGAATCACGTCGCAGGCGTGGTGAACTGATCAACAGAAGACCAAGAGGAGCGCCGCGAACAGTTCGAACTCCTGAAAATGTTAAACCCGTTCGACAGGTCTTTCTTCGCAGTCCGACTCGATCTGCCCGGAAACATGCTGCTGCACTTCGCCTTAGTGATCGTTCGGTAAGGCGAATTTTGCATATGGATCTCCGCTTTCACCCCTACAAGTTGGCCATTGTGCAACAGTTACAGCCCGGAGATTATGCACAACGAATGAACTTCGCACGTGAGATGGAAGCACTGATCGATCAAAATGAGAACCTCATTTTGTTTATGAGTAGAGAGAGGCTAGAGTATACGCGAACAAGCCCCAAACTCTGGACGAATTGAAGGGCGAAATTCGCGTGGAAGTCGCCCAAGTTGAGAGAGCGATGTTGGAGAGAGTCTACGCGAACTTCCAAGAACGCCTCCAGCACTGCGTCAACGATTTCGGCCACCACATGCCTGATGTGATTTTCCACACTTGACTGTCTCAAATGCTATTTCCTTGTGAACCTGATGCCATCAATAAATTTGTTTTCGAGTAAAAATTAACTATTTTATGATTTTTTTTAAAACCGTCCATCCTCTCTGCCGCACCCTGTATTAACGATCTATCATTTCTCGAGTCGGTCAATCAATCTCAGCCACAGCGAAACATATACTGTCATCCCGGTTCGATCCGTGTACGTTATTGTTGGAATCAAATAAAGTCTTTTAAAAACGGAGTTTGGAGTTAATTGGCGCAGCCCGCAGTAGGATTCCCAGATGGATTTTTACCGTTTAACCATTGATTCTGACCTCTTAATTTGAAATCATGAGCCTCCATCACGAGGCGGTACGACTGCAGAAAGAAGAAAGAATTTGTACCACAAGTACCCTTTGTTCTGTTGAAGTCGGCGTCCACTTGAGGAACCTTCCCCAAAAACAGGATGATATTCTGGACCTACAAGTGAGTGCTCATTGTATCCTATTCCTAATAATTGAAGCAAACGGAACGTTAGAAGACAATAATGACGACCCTCCAGTGGAAGTACAGAGGACCCCCGATAATCCGGCCACTGTCTAATCCGGCGCCCCCTGTAATCCGACATCCGTGTCAACTACTGACTGCGGGCCAGGCAAGAGACAGACACTCAAGAAATCTGAACATTCAGAAGTGGAAGAAGCTTTGTACATATGGTTTCTTCAGGAAAGAACTAGGCATGCACCAATTTCAGGACCCATGTTGGCCATGAAAGCTAAGTTTTTTTATAAGGAAATAACAAAAAAAGATGATTTGTGGTCAGCAAAGGATGGCTAGAACGTTTTAAAAGTCGTCATGGCATACGTTTAATGACTATTACAGGAGAGAAACTTTCTAACGATGTCAACTGCATAGAGCCCTTTAAATTAAGATTTTTGCAAAAGGTGAACGATTTAAATCTTGACCCGTCACAGGTGTACAATGCAGACGAATCAGGGCTTTTTTATCATGTGATGCCTAACAAAACTTTCGTTTCTTGTAACGAAAAATCCGTACCTGGACGAAAAGTAAGTAAAGAGCGTGTAACCATACTACCATGAGCAAACGCTGCGGGCACACACGCGCTTAAGATGATGGTCATTGGGAAATCTAATAAACCACAGGCATTCAAAAACGTTGATTTACCTGTACACTATTACGGACAAAAAAGTACATGGATGACGATAGACCTTTTCAAAAAGTGGTTTGATGAATGCTTCGTACCTGAAATTAGAAAATGGTCAAAAGATCATAATTTTCCTCAAAAAGCGTTGTTACTACTTGATAACGCTCCCGGTCATCCGTCTGAAGAAGAACTAACAACTGAGGATAAATGCATCACTGCGATGTTTCTTCCGCCAAATTGCACTGCACTGGACCAGAATATCATTCAGTTTATCAAGCAAAACTATAAGAAAAACCTACTTCTGAGAGCCGTATCAAAAGACCAACCAATAGAAAAAACTTTAAAAGAATTTAATATGAAAGACTTTTTTTTTGCTATTTGTCAGTCGTGGAATGCGTTACCGTCATCAACTATTAAATCGTCTTGGAAAAAGTTATGGCTAGATATAGTCACCACTCCTAGCAACGTTCCACAAATCAGTGTTACTTCGGAAGTTATAGAAAAAGTCGCTACCGAAACACAGATAAGTCCGGAAGATTTGGAAATCTGGTGCCATGGAATGGATAAAGAGGAAAATGTTTTTCATGAAATGTCTGACGAAGAGATTATAAAAAAGGTTTCTAATTATACAACAAACAATCAGGAAAATAACGACGACGTGATTGCAACTGCTCCACAAGTCACAGCACAAGAGGCAATTAACGCCTTTGAGCTAGGTTTACAATGGGCTGAAGAGAATGGTACATCCTACAACGAACTTTTACTTTTGAGAAGACTGAGGAACAAAGCTCTGATCTCGCGTTATAACGACCTTAAACAAAAAAAAAGGATGAATATTTCCAAACTTCATAATTTGATAAGTTCATTAATGATTTTGATTAATAATTCTTGATTATTTTGGTACGTATGTATGTGCATTTATGCTTAATTTTATAATAAAACGTAAGCTCTCTATTGTTATTTAATTTACTAAATTCGACATACATAAGCTATGTATGATTTGTACATAACATATATAATCTTATCATTGGGTATGTAATTTTTAGGATTACAAGGTACCCTTTTGTAAAAAATTCCGGACTATAGGCAGTGCTCTATAATCCGACAAATTCGATAGTCCGACACTGCCCTGCATAATGTTTGTCGGATTACCGGAGGTTCACTGTAGTGTCCCCCAGTTCGACTACATAGTTCAGGGCAGCAAGTTTCTGATAGAATGGCCATTTCATCGTTTCTTTTTTACCTTTTCGCTGCCGTTATACGGCACGTTGGAATTATTATTGTAAACGAAGTTGTTTCTGGAAAGGAAAGTACCGATGTTCAGAGCACTATGCATATTGAATAGATTTCTAGTATCAAATCCTAGCTGCTCCTATGAACTTTCATGCGTTTGATACTGGAATACATATTTGATCCTAGCAAAAAAACGTTCTGATCTGGAAACTACAGTAGAATTACATTTTCTTAGTTACCTGCCAAGTAAATACTCTTGTACTTATCACAACTTATATCTTCCTTAACGGTTCTTGGATATTTGATGATATCACCTTCTTCAACTATATCTTTAGGCGGGATAATTTCATACTCTTTATTTGGTGGTTCTTTTGAGGTCCCAGCTAACATTTCGCAAATATGATGAATATCTTTCTTTTCATCTCTGTTTCTCTCTATTGGTTTCAAGATTTGCACATTTTCCTTAGGTAACTACAAATTAGTAGCTGTAAATACGAAATTAAGAGAAAAGCGATACATATTGTGAGATACAATTGAGACGATCGCATTTTTGGCATCCTTAGCACTTTCTTTGATATCGCGTTGGGTCCGACCTTCTATTTTCTACTTCACTTCGCAAAAAACAAAAAGAAATCAGAAATATGATATCCCAACGAAAATCAGTACTGATTCATTTACCTTTATGTTCCACTTAAGCATCTCTCTATATTCTTTTTCTTCGGCATCTTCAATGCCTTTCTGTGTATCGTTTTTGTCCCCTTTTACAAGCTCACGGAGCTCGTCTCTAGTTCTAGGGTTCACATCATTGGCAGGTGGTCCATCACCTTGTTCAGTCACTTTGAATGATTCGTATTCAGTCCTGAAAGAAAGTACAATTCACTTGAAAGCTGTTAGATGTATACTGCTTCCAGAGTCCAATTTCCAGATTCCAGAATGGCGCACCAATATTCTATCTTGAAATTATTGATATTTTGTTACCTGTCAAGTTGCTCGTAATACTTTCTATCAATGACATCTTCATCGTAATCATCTTCGCTATCGTCGCTTATTTGATCACCGTTCTTCGCAGTTTCAACTTTGACTGATAAAATTTCTTGTATGGTGCGTTTCTCAGTCAATTTACTAATTTCACTTTTCATTATAGCCTGTACCAAAAAAGTGTCATGATTCGAGATATTTGTGAAAAGTAATTATATCTAGTTTGCACAGTGGATATTTAGTTTATTTCCTATTATCGAGTTCCTTGTCACAGTCCTGTTGGCGAGCACAAAGGAAATTGTGGATATGTTTCACTGCTTCGATCATTAGGGCCCAATTTGAGGCCTAACTACCTTGCTCATTATTGATAGCACTTCCAATACAGAATAAGTACAAGTAAATAGTAACATGCGAATAATTTTAATTCCATTATATTATTATTACCATCATCATCCATTATTTATGCAAACATTTGTTAAGATAATATTCCAAACTGAACCCGACTTAGGAATCAGTCTAGAGAGGGGGCGCAGTGGTGGTCGCATACTTCATGTTCAAGACAATTTTCGTCTCCGGGGTGGGAAGGAGGATGTACGAGTATATGGATGATAGATAATTGAAGAGCGCTGAGAGTGTTGGTTGCATGTTTAAACAGCGCTTCTGAAAGCAAATCCTCTTTTGACTTTTGAAAACGATTCAGCGCCCACCTCTAAATCCACACTTGAACTGAATTAAGCCAAAAACTTAGAGCAAGTATCTAATAAATGTTCGTGATATTATGTAACTTCTGATCGTCATTGTCTTCATTTTGCTGGGAGACTAGTTTGAGAGCATAACATTATTAATACAGACAAAGGAAATACCTGAATCTTCTCGATAGTCATATCCTTAATCATTGCGGAAGTTCCTTGTTTTACTTCTTTATCCTCATCACTTCCATCGCTTTCGCATACTTTATCTGAATCCTCAATATTACTCGAACTTTTCTCGCCTTTTGCCATTTGAAGGTTGTCAGAAAATTCTTCAAATGCCATTGTCGATTCTGACATACATACATTCTTCACTACAGTCTCTTCTTCAACCTTAGCATAACAAAAAGTAACTATACAAGGTGTAGGATGTAATGAGTATTATTGAACACGTAGTGCAGTCCGCCATTTTTACAGAAAGACTACGATTTAGGAACATATGAAACTTGTCCTTGTGCGTCTTTCAAGCATTATATCCAAAGAGGACAATCGGAAAACATTTTATTAGTCTTTAAATTTTATTTTCAAGTTTGGAATCCTAATTTTTGACGCTTCTTAAAGTGATCACTTTTGGTCGCAACTTAAAAATTGTTGTGCGCCTGAAGCTTTCAAAAACTTTCATTATTGCTGTATTAAGACAGCACACACTCTGTTACTTCATTTTTTGATATCGTATTGGATCTTCTAGATCTTTGCAATGTCGAGTTTCTCTGTGATGTAGATGAAAAAATACCTTACTTGAGCTTGGTTGATAGTCACATCACATACGGAGTCGTAACATCCATCAGTTTCTTCTTTCTCAACGTCACTATTTTCTTCTTCGTCTACTTCCTCCACAGCTATTCTAGTTTCACCTTTGTCTTGTTCAACTTTGGTCAGTTGACCGTCGTTATTCAAGAATTCTTCAAATGTCATTGTTGTTTGTGACATGTCCATCCTTTTAACTGCAGATACTGCTTTTTCCTAAGGATTAATAAATAAATAGCAATGTTTTTAAATAGTAATCGATACATAAAATATATTGCTTAGTCAGAAGTTACAATTTTTCAAGAAGCTTACCCTCAAGAACTGCCTTTTTCTTGCCTCACTTCCACGTTCTTCATTTTCGCTATCATGTGCATTATTTTGTTTGAGGTACAGCTTATCCATGCTATCCAGCATTGTTCCGAACTCGCATTTTTTAAAAGTATCTCCTTTCGCCTTTTGATCTATTTTTGGGGAAGCACCACCAGCACTGTTAATTGAGTCTTCATTTCCACAAGCAACGGTTGTTTTGTTAGTAGATCCTGTAGTAACACTATTTTCATCTTTGTCGACACTTTCAGCAAACTCTTTACCTGTATCACCTGAAGATGAATTATCGTCATATCCTTCATTTAGATTTACTGCATCTTCAGATCTTTCAAGAACTTCATACACTTTTTCAATTGTATAACTTGTACCAATTGTTACATTCATGTTGCTATACGATGCTTGAGCAGGATCTGGTAATTCTCCATTCGTATCAGGAACTGAATCATTACAGTCTTCAATTACATCTAACCCTTCAGTACTAACTTCACCATTAGCTTTTGTGCCATAAATATTGCTTTCACGATATTCGAGTTCAGATAGATCGGTAAATAGAGCTTTCAAATCTTCACTAAAGTTATCATCGCTGTCTGCTGTTTCGACATTTTTAGCGGAATTTATGCTAAGTCGATCTAAGTATCCTAACGACTCACTTGTTTTATCTGAGTCATTCGACCTGTTGCCCTCTGAATCATCAGGTATTTTTTGAACATCATTTGCATTATCCAATGTATTTTCTGTGCTGCTACTTCTCTCAGTATTGACGTTTGTATCGTTGAGATTTGTTGGTTTACAACCAGAATCGTCAATCTCTTCAATTAGTATTTTGCCAGTATTCTGGACCTCGTGTTCGTGTTTTCCATTTTTCATGGTTTTTGTATACGTCGTTTTTACTGCACTTAATGTGAAATCTTGTTTAATCTCATTTAATTTGCTTGTGCAAGGCTTGTCTGATTGATCGATCTCCGTAACTAGGTGCTTATTTTTTCTCTCTTTATCTGAAATATGAAAAATAGGAATAGTTTTCTATACAAGGTGCACACATTATTTTACTTCCCACGCCTACTGGCGGGGAGGCATTGTAATCGCGAAAATTTTCGAAAATGAGGTATTGTTTCTTGGATGTACGTGTACATGACGAAAAACCATGTCACTCATTTATGTCGGTCTGTTAGTCTGTCTGTCGGTCTGCCCGAAGGCGTGGGCAGTCGAAACAGACGAACTGTCACCTGGGAGACAGATAAATATATGTCATTGTAGTGAAAAAGATTACCTTTGTGATTGAAAGGTTTACTAAATTAAAAAAGACTTTTAAATACATTTCATTTCATTGGCCAGACAAACATTTTTTGTAAAATTCATTCGTTCTCTTAACAGTCAGTTACCTGAAAGGTGTCAATACGAGTACAAATATAAATAAGAATGTGTGAGCCAACCTACTGGCCGCCATTGCTTGTGATCCTTATTTTTTTTATTTGTGTTATACATTTTTACAAGCGTTTTTTTTATACTCAGACGATATACATAGATTTTTGGTTGAAACAGTTGTCAGCAAAGTCATAGTTATCGTTGAGTTGGAGTAGTACTGACTTGTCAGTTCATAACATCAGAGAGCTTTTAATGCTCGTGTTTTGCTGCCTCGTTATGATCTTCGTTATTTCGATTTTGCGCAGTAGCGAGACAAGCCTTCATTATCAAAATAAGAAAGCTCCGTAGTTAGTAGTAGTGGTAGTAGTAGTAGAAAGATTTATTTAGCACATTTGGCTACATAAACAGAATAATTGTAAACAACTTAGAACTAGTAAATTTAAGCCATATGGTGTATGATGTAAATGCTGGGCAAACTATAATTGTAGATTTAACAAGTGATTTCTCAGTTTTACTTTAAATTTTGTCAAAGTTTTCTGGTCTTTTATCTCTGAGTATAATTTATTATATTCAATCAACCCTTGATGCAATACAGATTTTTAGCATATGTTATACTTTTTGGTCATTAAATGGAAGTCATCTTTATTTCTGGTATTATGTAAATGATGGTCGACTTTTGATGATGTTAAATTAGTTAGACTTGATGGAAATATATTATTTTTTACTTTATAAATGAATATCATTATAAGATATTTGATACAAATTTTTACATTGAGCCATTTTAATTTGCTAAGCATTTGCTTAATTGGAATATATTTATCTTTATTTAGTATTATTCGCATGCATTTATTTTGTAAAATTTGCAGTCTTTCAAAATGGAATTATTTGCTAAATATAGAATAGTTGAACAGTACAAGAAATTTGGAAGAATGATGGTATTATAGATAATTTTTCTGCTATATGAACTCAGACATCCAGAAACTCTCGATAAATATCCCACTTTACTACTAATCTTATTTATAACTTTTTCATAATGAATATCAAAAATTAATCGAGAGTCAACAAAAACCCCCAGGTATTTAAAATGTTCTACGAATTCAATATCTTCACCATCAATATTCAGTTGAACATTTGTACATTTTTTTTTTTGATTAACAAGGCTTTCGTTTTACTTGTATTTAATTTTAGTCTGTTAGATGCTAACCATTTTGAGACAAGTTTCAAGTTTATGTAAGAGATACCAGACTGAATATTTTTAGTACTTATATAAATCATAGTGTCATCGGCGAAAATCTGAATTTTGCATTTTTTGACTATGGCAGATAAATTATTTATGTATAAAATAAAAAGAAGTGCTCCCAGGATACTGCCCTGTGGAACAACCAATGTATTTTCAATTTTTGATAAAATGGTGTCATTAACTTTTGTAACTTGCATCCTTTTAGACAAATAATTTCTAAACCAATCTAAAACACTTCCTGTTATACCATATGCCTTCAATTTACCTAACAAAATATCTCTATTAATCATTTCAAATGCCCTCTTCAAATCCAAAAATACTGCTATGAAAACTTCTTCTGAGTCTATGGCTCTTCTCCAATTCTCAGTTACCAACTGGAAAGCCGTTTCTGTGGGATATTTTTTTCGAAAGCCTGCTTGCGCCTCCACTAAAATTTTGTTTTCTTCTATAAATTGCATTAATTGGTCATGCACTATGGACTCTAATAATTTTTCAATGTCTGGTAACACATTTACTGGTCTCATATCGCTGCATATTTTAGGATTTTTTATTTTGGGTACTGGTGTTATTGTAGAGCATTTCAAATTTTCAGGAAAAGAACTGCTTCTCAGTGAACAATTGATCCAATTTAATAGAGGATATCCCAAAATTTCGAAACAGTTTTTCAGCACGTTTTTACTGTTTACTTTTTTTCTTAGATTATTCAATGAGATGAATTTTGAAAGTGTATGCAACATTTCCCCCTGGAAACTGATTTTCATATTGTCAGATGCAGCATTGGCAGTACCCACAATATCAACAATACTTCCCAAAACATATTCATTTAGTTTGTTTGCAATCACCAAAGAATTTGTTTCGGTACCGTTTTCGAATTGAACTTGATTTACACAATCATGCGGCTTGCAAATGATCAGTCTTTTTAAAGTCTTCCACATCTTTACACTGTCGCACTTGTTATTACCGATTTGTTTATCGTAGAATTTCCTTTTTTCTTCTCTAATTACATATACACATTTATTCCTAAGAATTTTATATACCTCCCAATCATCATTTGATTTTGTGAATATACATTTATTGTATTGTTTGTCTCTCAAATTTTGAGCTGCCTTAATATTCTTGTTATACCAGGGATGGAGGATAGTTGAGAGCTTATTTCGTAAAGTTATTTTTTCCTTATTCAGCACTGTTGCCGGTATTCGTAAAGCTGGATAAGCTTAATTGGGATAATTTCAACTTATCAAGACATTTTGGGTGAAATATATACATATATATATATATATATATATATATATATACATCCTTGAATTACTTTGGGTAGAAGGCAAATTATTGCATAATCACACTCTTATAACTCGAGCTTTCGATGGTCTATGCCATCATCGTCTGGAGCTAAAAAACAATTTTTGAAAAATAGCAACAATAAACAATTAGGAGGAAAAAATATAATTACTTACTAAGTGGGCGAGATTGTTGCTGAAATTGTTCTTAATCGACAGTGAAAGGGAACACATAGTCGAGGAACAAGAAAACTGGACCGATCAAGTTCGATTAGGACGGAATTATTTTATTAGTAAACGGCAAATCATAGCTATGTTTTTTTATTTTAAAAATTCCTTAAACAATGATTGATTTGGAAGAATTTGAAAAACAGATCAAGTTCAATCTCGTCGACTTAGTAAGTAATTATATTTTTTCCTCCTAATTGCTTGTTGCTATTTTCTAAAAATTGTTTTTTAGCTCCAGACGATGTTGGCATAGACCATCAAAAGCTCGAGTTCAAGCTATAAGAGTGTGCTTATGCAATACTTTGCCTTCTACCCTAAGACATTCAAGGATATTTTCTCCTAACAGTTAAGGCAATTAACTATGAATACTATATAATATATATAGGTCTATATAGAGAGAGAGAGCGAGAGACAGAGAGAAACTGATCACGCGGAGAAAGGTATATAACAAAATATAGGAAAATAATGGGCACAATCAGCACAAAGAGGGAAAGTGGATTCGAGCAGAAAATAGGATAGGTGACCCGAGCCGACCCGAGTATTTCTGCTTGTTGGCTTCATCTGGTGCGAAATGAATACATATGCAACCACAAAAGAAGATACACATGCCCATACATCCGGATACAGGTGTATCCTGAAGAAACGAAGATGGAGAGGAAAAAATATGATACACACATAAAAGTTTTTGACTGTTGTTGGTTGTTTTTTGTTGTATTTTTGAATGGTGTTTGATTTTTTGCTTTGGGGATTACAACGCAGAATGATTGGCCAAACAAAGAGCAGTTCGCGATAAGATTAAATAGAGTAGACAGTACTGGTAAGTAACCGTTCGTTAATGATTCTTGTGTCCAAGAACTATTTTCTTCTGGAAAAGAGTTATCGTTGATAAAAAGAACAATGATAATGACATTTACAGTCGCTAACCAAAAAATTCCTATTTAAACATTATTATTCGTGGAAACAGTCACGTTGTGACAGTAAACATGTTTTTAAAAATAATGAAAAATTCTAGTGGAATTGTGATATGCATAATTATGATACAAGGACTTGTAATAATTTATATGTAAACTTCAGCAAATCAAAAGCGGCATTTCGATCACCTAATAAAATTGGTCCGCTTCTTTTTAATAATTTACCATGCCACATTACCTCGGTTAAATACTCGTATATTAATGACTTCAAGTTCCAGTTGAAGAAATTTTTAATAAACAAGTGCTTTTATCGTGTTGATGAATTTTTGAAAATTGCAATTTGAGATTAGTTGTAGGTTTGTATTGAATATATTGTCTGTATGGAAATAAAGGTTATTGATTGATTGATTGATTGAAACAAATCTATAGGCACGTTATATTTTCTTGTAGCTTCATTAAATTATTTCCACACCTGTCGCCTACCCGTCATTGTGTGGTGGGTGATGTTTCAATGGTCTAAAAGGTGTCATTATTTTGAGGTAGGTAGTTTCAGATCATGACTATTTTGTGATCATCGTGCATGTGGTTATAATACCTCTTGTAGGTGAAAAGTCGAAGATTCTCTGTCTATAAGCTGAGTAATCCTCGGTAGTCTGTCGGTCCCTCATGAAATCATCTTCAGATTCTGAAGAAGATTGATCGGCTTGGTTATCATCATTTTCTTCACAAGCTCTTGCGTAATCGTATAATTCCCCGTTTTCCTCATCCGAGGACTCTTCGTCACTATGTTGATTTTCCTGGAAGGAAACCAGCCATAAAGTTAGTGATAGTAATAAATTACTAATATCGACGCAATATTTTGTCAGATTCATTTTACTTCCCACGCCTACTGGTCGGGAAGTATTGCAGTTATATATATATAAAATATATATATATATATATATAAAATTTTCGAAAATGATTTGCTTTTGGAATTCGGTCCATTAGCGGAACTAGTGACGAAGACACGAAAAAAAAATAAATAAAAACCGCTCAAACTTCGTTTTTTGAGGTTTCAGATTGCTGATCATTTTCAGATTTTTTTGTAGCGGTTGAAAATAGGGGGTTGGGGGTTGTAGGGCGTGGGGAGATTGTGTATATCATTTTCTTGGCAGCAGTATACTTATACACTTGGAACCTCATTAATTTTACGCACCTACCAGTTTTTGTTTGTGCCTAACCTGCAGTTTCTTCAGATCATTTTTACCATAGTATGTAAATTACGATTTACGAAAGTTAACCAAAGGTTGGCAAGCTACTGTTATTTGTATACCGCGAGGAGTTCTTGAGGACATAGTAGTGAAGGTAAAAAAGATACCGTTACTCCTGCTTCTTCCAATGACGGAGGGATAACATCCCTATCTTGAACGTTGCTGACATTGAGACTTTCTGCTTCGCTTTCAGAATCTCCAACTGAGGTACCATGACCACTGTCACATTGTTGTTGTTGCCTCCTTCTTTCCTCAATGTTTCTATCTCTAATTGCGATTAAGGCTACAAAAAAGTCAAACGAATAAAATTTTACCAAATTACTTAATTCACAGACCTCGTATATCATAGAAGTCATTCTATTTTCAATCGAAACTGTGTACAAAACCCAAGTTGTCGTTACATAAAAGAGAGCTTTGTTGTAAGTGTTACACTGTAAACTTCTGGCATATTTTTGATTTTTAGTTTAAATAAATACTATTGTCATATGTTCATATTTTCGATTTTTTTTTCATTTTATAAGACATCACATCGCTGTAATAAGAAAATATCTTTTTAGGTCAGCTTGAAAATACGCATGTGTTCATGGGGAGTATGTATACTTATCTGACAACTACACTGCCAAACAAAATTTTGTTCAAATTTAAGTTTAAATAACTTTTTAACCTTTGTATCAACTTGATTAAATTAAGTTGTAGGTGATTTCTTCATCATCATTATCGACTGTCGATCTTGCAAATGAATTGAAAATGTAATCCTGAAACACACGGTGTAACTAAAAGGTGCATTTTCCCCTAAATTTCTGAACACCCTGTGGAAACATTGGATTACTGAATAATGTGTCTTCGTATGAGAATTTTAAGCCTCAACTTTTCTCAACATTTTTTTTATTCATGTCAATATCTCATCTATTGAAAAATATATGCTGTTTTGAAGAAAACCACGCGAATCATAGCCATAAACAAGAAATTGTTCCAAGCAAGCTTTGCCGGGTAAGAAATTGTTTCAAGTAGGCTGTGTCTGCATTTTTATGGCATGTCAAAAAGATTCTTGTCAAGCAATACTCAACAAAAATGACACCGAAACAAGTAGCGCAAGCTGTACCTTTACAAGATGATGGTCGTCCTACTCGGTATATCGCAGAATGGCTTGCCGTTCCACGCAGTACGGTATTCGATGCGATACGAAGATTTAGAGAAACTGGTGCTTATTCAAAAAGACCTGGGTAGCGAAGACGGAAAGCAACAAACGCAGTTGAAGATCGGTTTCTGAAACTCCAAGCTTTTCGAGAAAGGACAGTACCTCCTACACCTTTGACTCGAAGATTGGATGATGTTCATATTATCATAGTTTCATCTGATACCGTCCGCAGACGGTTGAGAGAAGGAAACCTATCATTTTGTGTACCTGCTACAGTTCCTCTATTCGATGTAAGTCATCGAAGGCAGCGCTTGGTATTTTCTCGAAATCATGCAGATTGGAATATGGATGACTGGAAAAACGTTCTTTTCAGAGACGAGTCTCGTTTCACGAGATATTCACCTGATGGTCCCCAAAGAGTATGGAGAAGGCGTGGAGAATGCTATGCTCAAAGTTGTTTCGCTCCTAGCGTGCAATTTGGTGGTGGAGATGGTATGGGGCGGTATTTCTTTGGAATCCCGCACAGATCTTGTTTCGCTACGAGGAGGACACCTTACTGCCCTCAGCTACACTATACAGGGTGTTCCTTAATGATATGCGAATATTTAAGGGTCTCAAACTACATGAAAAAGTAATGTTAGTTTGCTTTATAAGCTATGGTCCAAAAATGTATCCTTACAAAAACTCGGGATGTTGAAGTTTTAGGAAAAAAATGGAAATTAATTAATATTTTCAGAACCACTTTAGATATTTCACTGATATTTGGTACGTAGTGAAAGTTAATAAAGTTGCATATTTTCCGATGCAAAAATAACTTCAACAGTGGCATGCGTACGAGTATTGACTTCGATATTTTTTGAGAAAAAAATGGTACGCCACTGGTTTTTTGCCAAAGTATTTTTGAATTCCCCGTTCAAATCAGAACAAATAATCTGTCTAGAATTGTTTTCCTTCGATGCGCCATTTTTGAGGAAAAAAATAAAAACCGTTCTATTGTCTAACTTATTAATTTAATTAGAAAAATTAAACACATTAGGGGTAATGAACAACAACAACTGACGCCCTTCTTCTCATGGAATTGCGCACTCGTTGAAATATCCCTGGAGTGTTTTTTATTCTATCACAAGCTGCAACTATTATTTCTCTTAATTCCTCTACAGTGTTGATGGGACTTGTGCACACTAGTGTCTTAAGATAGCCCCACAAAAAGAAATCTAAACTGTTGAGGACTTTGGACCTCGGTGGCCATTCTTGAGGCTCACCGCGGCCAATCCAACGATTTGGATAAACAGTTTGTAAATAATTACGAACCGCTACACTGAAATGCGCGGGTGCACCATCATACATGTACTACATATTGTTTGTTATTACTGACGGAACATCATCCAGCAGCAAAGGCAACTGTTGAAGAAAACTGAGGTAAGTCTGTCCGTCAAGTCGTCCCGGCAAGAAGAATGGGCCAATAAAGTGGTTGCCAATAATTCCTGCGCATACGTAAACCGAGAATTGGTGTTGTAAATGGGTTTCGGTTACGGCATAGAGATTTTCTTCTGCCAATAAATGATTATTGTGGAAATTCTGAAAGGCAGTTCGAGAAAAATTAGCTTCGTCCGTGAACAGAATCATTGATTCAAATTGCGGAATTTGTGCAATTTTTTGAAGATACCACTGACAAAAGGTCACATGCCTTGGAGAATCAATGGGACACTAAAATGCTCCAAACAATTTGATGGCAAATATCTAAGTGTCTAGCGATCTTCCTCGTACTCGTTTCAGGATGTTCTTCGACTTCGTGCAGCACTGCTTCCTCAATTTCAGGTGTTCTCACACTTAGAGGTCTACCTTCAGATGCCTTTTCGGACAGAACCAGTTTCAATAAGACGAGACGACGATGAATATTAGAAAAGGTTCGACTATCTGGCAAAGCACGATCGGGGTATCTCTGGTGATAAATCCGTCTGGCTTGCTCACCATTACTGTCGGCAAGGCCATATACGTAATGCATTTCCGTCACTTCTGCATTTGAATAATTCACCATTATTAACAAGATTGTAAAAACTAAATAATGAAAAAGATGTCACAGCGAACAGATTTGAATAAAAGAGATTTGTCAGATGTCAAAAGCCAGTGACATATTTCAGAGCAACTAGATATTTATTGCTAAATTGCATTCTTCAATTATTACATTAATTTTCTCGGACAATAGAACGGTTTTTATTTTTTTACTCAAAAATGGCACATCGAGATAAAACAATTCAGGGGAGATCATTTATTTAAAATTGAACGGGGAATTCAAAAATAATTTTTATTTGGCAAAGAACCATTGGCGTACCATCTTTTTCTGCACGGCACTGTTAAAGCTAAAAATTATTTTTGCATTGAAAAATATATTCAACTTTATTAACTTCCACTACGTACTAAATATCAGTGAAATATCTGAAGCGGTTCTGAAAATATTAATTAATTTCAATTTCTTTCCTAAAACTTTAACACCCCGAGTTTTTGTAAGGAAACATTTTTGGACCATAGTTTATAGAGCAAACTAACATTAATTTTCCATGTAGTTTCACACCCTCAAATATTCGCATATCATTAAGGAACACTCTGTAGAGTGGAAGTACGTGGTTCCTCATATGCCCTTTATAGGAGAACATTTTTGATAACAATTTCTAATTACTTATGATGCCACTGTAATTTTTTAAATTAAATTGTTTATGGCTATGATTCGCATGATTTTCTTCCAAAGAGCGTAAAGTCGTCAATAATTGAGACATTGACATGAATAAAAAAAAAGAACTGTTGAGAAAATTTGAGGCTTGAAATTCTCATACGAAGACACATTATTCAGTAATCCAATGTTTCCACAGGGTGCTCAGAAATTTAGGGCAAAATGCACCTTTTAGTTACACCCTGTATAACAACCAACACTTGACAATGACAAAGAAATCACCTACGACTTGACGAAAAAATGAACGAAATTGAAGCAAAAGTTATTTTAAATTTAATTTGAACAAAATTTTGTTTGTCCGGTTAATTATGCGTGGCAGTGTATCACGTCTTGGCCTATCCCCCGTTTCCGTCTTGACGTCGACTTCTGTATCGGATTCTATTATTCTTTGACGACCCTGTGTTTCTAGGCGGTTTCAATCGCGCTTTGGAATACTACAGGGTTTGTCCGGAAAGTAATAGGACTCATTTTCTTCCTAGCTAACGAATGAGCGGCAGGTCAGTTGTCTCCGAGCACTTGGAGAGTCAGGACAGGCATTTTCGCGCGACATGTTTCTGTGAGTGGTGCAAGCCGAAAATGCAGCGTTCGTTAGAGCAGAGGTACGCGATTAAATTCTGTGTGAAACTCGGTAAATCTGCGACAGAGACGTTGATATGATCAAGCAGGCAAGAAGTGGTGTGTTTCAGTGGCACCAGGCCTTTTTGGAGGGCCGGGAAGAGGTCGCTGATGAAGACCGGGCTGGAAGACCCTCGACTTCGACAAACACCGATAATGTGACTCATGTGCGCAAAGTTTTGAACTCAGACCATCGACTAAGTATTCGTTTAATTGACAAAGATGTTAAATCTACCAAAATCTGTGGTTCATGACATTGTGACACAGCATTTGAACATGCGCAAGGTGTGCGCGAAGATGGTCCCAAAAGTGCTCACTGACGACCAGAAATTGCGGCGAGTGGAAATGTGCCAAGAAAATTTGAACATGTGTGAAAGTGACCCCCAATTTTTGAATAACGTAATCACAGGTGACGAGTCGTGGATCTTTGAGTATGATCCCGAGACAAAGAGGCAATCTTCCGAGTGGCACACGACGGCGTTTCCTCGCCCAAAAAAGGGAAGAATAAGCAAATCCAAAGTGAAGACGATGGTCATTGTCTTTTTTGACATCAAAGACATCGTCCACCATGAATTTGTACCTCCAGGACAAACCGTCAACGCCAAGTTTTACTTGGAAGTGCTCAGGAGACTCAAACGAAGGGTCAGTCGGGTCCGACAAGACAACTGGAAATTGCACCACGACAACGCCCCGGCTCACACCGCCTTCCTTGTGAACAGCTACCTGACCAAGGCCGGCATCCCAACGCTTCCGCAGCCGCCCTACAGCCCAGATGTGGCCCCCCGGGACTTTTTTTTGTTTCCTCGCCTAAAAAGGTCGATGGAAGGCAAGCATTTTGAGACGACAGAGAGGATGCAGGCAGCATGCACCGCGGCTCTCAAGGCTATTCCGGAAAATATCTTCCGTGACGCCTTCAATGCTTGGAAATCGCGCTGGCAGCGCTGCATCGACGCAGAAGGAGCCTATTTTGAAAGTTTTTAAAGAATTGTAACGATTGGCTCAATAATTTTTTTTAAAACGACTCAGTCCTAATACTTTCAATACTTAAAAATGTTGGAATTACCGTTAACGCTGTCCATAATCCGTTTCCTCTCTCTATCTATCCATCTTTTCCTTTCAGCATTTTCTTCCGTCATTCCACCTCTTTCCCTGAAATATTGATTTCATGTTATTTGGAACAAAATATAAAAGTATGTGACAAAAAATTACCAAGCTTCTGCACAGGCTCTGTCTCTGGGAAACACCGGACGGTCATCCAAATATTGCAAGTTTTTCTAAACAAAAAAAAGGATCTAGTTGCGAAAGGTGGGTAGCAAACACTAAACAGGGGTATATTCATACAAAAAAAATATGTTTCCAAAATCTGTATCAGAATCGTAGACGTTATTTCTTTCTGCAAAACTCAAACTCCTGTGAAATGTATAGATTATCATATGAAACATAAACCTAAATTCTCACACAAGCAAGGATCATCGTTTTCCGATAAGCTGGAATCTTCCTAATGACTGGATTGCCCATCATATTCAACACTCTCAAATCTGGCATTTTACCCAGGACTTCAACAATCAACGGATCTTCTATGTGATTGTTCGATAGATCCAAAACAGACAATTCAAGAAGTTTTTCTAAATGTTCAAAATCTGTCAGGTTTTCCACGTAGTTATTCGACATGTTCAAAGTATGTAACACCTTTATACAATCTACAAATATGAAAGAATAACTATAACAACATTAAAAAACCGGTATCGTATTGAGTCTCAAAGTGAAAAATAAAAATACGTCCTGACCACTAAAATTACTAAGGTTTATTGTCGCTTTAATAAATGTTGTTTCAATAACAATAACGGCATTATTTTCAAACGTAAGATAAAAAGTGAAGCTTTTGGTATGGACAATTAGTGGCGAATACCCAGTAAACAAAATTACTTCCTATCCATGTTCTAAGAATGTGCTTTATTATTATTATTATTATTATTATTATGATAATTGAGATGAGCAGAGTACACTGTACTATAAGCTCATGCAGTAAATATAGTGTACGGACACGTAACACAAATACATCAAATAGAAAAAAATAAAAAAAGACAGTTCATAGCTATAAAGTTTGTACACTCCTCCAGCTATCATACTGCACTTTGAAGCTATTAACTGAAGTAGCACCAACCACACTTTCAGCTAAACTATTCCAGGTGTTGAATATGCGGTTGGGAAGAAACCACTGTCGGACTGTTATTTTAAATGGCTCCTTATGCAGTTTGAAGCTGTGTCCGCGTAGATTGCTGCTCGACAGACGGTATAGATGCATGAGGTTGGTGCCCATAAAACCATGAAGTATCCTGAACGTAACTATAAGATCGCCACGAAATCTTCGCTCAGAGAATGAGGTCAGGTTGAATAATTCAAGGCGATCTTCATAGCTTGGTCTTCGTGCTCCAAAAGGGATACGAGTAGCCCGACGCTGTACTGATTCGACGAGATTTCTATCGCGCAGAAGCACAGTGTCCCATACCGTGCCAGCGAATTCAAGAATTGGCCTCACGAATGCCTTGTAAATGTAGGCGCAAGTGTTGACATCGGATCCTTTGAAAGACCGCTCCAGCATGTATAGAAGTTTCTTGGCTTTTGATGTAACGTGGTGAATATGCTCTGACCAGGAAAGACGATCGTTGACTACAACGCCCAGATCAGTGTGGCTGGAAACTGCTTCGATGTTGTGGTCAGAGATCTTGTATGTAAATCGCGGATTTGTCTTCTCGAGGTGGAGGACACAACACTTAGTTAGATTTAAGGGTAAAAGCCAACTGACTGACCATTGACAAACAATATCAAGATCTCGTTGAAGCATAGCAGAATTTACGACAGTATTGTAAATCTTGGTGTCGTCGGCATAAGCTGAACATGTGGAGGAAATCAATGCGGGCAGGTCACTTGTATACAGAAGGAACAGCACTGGCCCCAAGACAGAGCCTTGAGGAACTCCACTTGCTACATGATGAAGGTGAGACTGGCTATCACTGACGCGCACAGAGAAAGTCCTCCCGGTGAGAAAAGCCTTAATCCACAGTAACAACTCGCCTTTTATTCCCATACATTCCAACTTAAACAGAAGGCTTCTATGTGGTACGCGATCGAAAGCCCTAGAATAATCTAAGTAGATTATATCAACAGGAGTCTTTGTGTCCAGATACTCAGTCCAATCGTTGAGAGAGTGGAGAAGGTTGGTCATTATTGATCGATCAGGGAGAAATCCATGCTGATTCTTAGGGATAAGGTCATTTTCGAAAGCAAATGACAGGAGCTTATCTAATATGATTCTTTCAGCTATCAATATCACGTTCCAAGCACGTGCTTAAATAGCATATCACATCATAAGGATGCATTATGAGCAAATACTCATTTTGACAACGTCCTGCAGCACATTCCTCATTAGGTGATTTGGCAAGATCCTAGAGCACACGTTCTGAGAATAACCTCAACAGGTGATTTGGCAAAGTCTTGCCAGAGAGCAGACAGACATAAGATATCAATGGTGGATATCCAGGATATTTACTGAATGGACAGATACATCCAATAGATATCCATTAGGATATCCAGATATCCGCCTATATTGGAGAATCTGGATATTACTGTTTTGATATCATGTATTTAATGTACCCAAAGGATGTTCACTGCATGTCCGTGAAGTATCCAGTAGTTCTGGACACATCTAATGGCTGCTTCAGGAATATGCAGATGATCACACCATATGCTCGAGAATTTTGAACGAAGAAGGATGATTGAAAACTTAACAATCATTTTAACCATACACCATTTATTGACCACTTTATGTATGTGTCCCGAAAAAAGTGTGCAATATTCTACCAGCGGTTTCTAGAGCTTAAAATAGGAAGACAGGTTTATATAAACATAGGTCGACAAACGTCCCCTAAGGGCGCTACGGTCTTTTAAAGTGGTTCCCCTGAAGTTGGGTTTTCCTTAATATTTCCGAAACGTGTAAAGATAAAGACATAACATTCGGTATTCATGGTTTGACAAATTCCGTTGAATATCAGTAAACATTCGACGTCCAGGTACTATGCGATTGGGAAATCGTCTTTGATAGTCTCTTACGGCTGATATGGCAAAACCCGTACACAAAATGCATGTCAGTCAGTTCTCTGTCTGTAAATCTTGGCATTCTAAATCGATTTAATAAAAATTTTGATTTTAATCTAGGAATTTTACACTGCTAACAATGTCAGCTTAACGTCAAAATAAGCCATAACTAATCAAAACAACTTTTGTTTGCAGCCATGGCTAACTATGTATAATCAACAATTCATTTAAATTCGCAGTACATTTAATATCATGTGACAAATTTTTTCACACGTTTCGGAAATATTAAGGAAAAACCATCTCCAGGGGAGGCCCCTTTAAAAGACCGTAGCGCCCTTTAGGGACGTTTGTCGACCTATGTTTATAAAAACTTTTCTTCCTACTTTAAGCTCTAGAAACCGCTGGTAGAATATTGCACACTTTTTTCGGGACACCCTGTATAATATAATACATATGTGAGGTCTTACAAACTAATTTATTATCTATCCGAGTGACGTCATAGCATCAACGTACTCATCGACTGAATAGAAACAGTGGTTTTAGCAAACTTTGAGAAGTAGCGATTAGACATATCTTCAAAATTATATTCTTCATTTGAATTGACGAAAAAATTATATAATTTAACGTCAGGTCTATTATTTTTAATCATATTCAGTCGCGAGTATGGATTCCTTAGTAATTAACACTGCGTGGTGTATGGGTGTGTATTTCTGCAGAGGTTTGATATTTGCCAAAATTTCTGTGCACATAACGTAGGCCTCCAGAATATAAATTGATGGAAGTGGTAATATTTGTAAATTTTTTAATTGATTTCTGCACTTTGATCCAAAACTGGAATTTGTAATTATCCTCAAAGCAGTTTTTTGTAAAATGGAAAGGAAAATGTAGTATGATATGTCTTGTTTTTCATTTAGCGATAACTTGGTTTTTAGCTTGTTCCCGTGTTTTGGTCAGCTCTAGACATCAAGGTGGTACCGTCTGCAAACAGGAAGCAGGATCCGTTATCAATACTCGAGGGCAGGTCATTGATATATAATATATATATATTAGACATATAAAGGGAACCAACCCGGCGTTCCCAGAGACTGAAACACATGAGGAGACGTTGTAGCAGACCGCAGGTCACGCACAACACATGGCCTACCGAGACGCTGATGAGTCGGGCCACGCGGAGGTTTAGGGTTTAGTGGGTATTAGGTGGTCTCCTCAAGACAACCTGGAGTCCCACACACGGGCTATGGTATGGTGCGTAAACGCATTCCCCCCTCACCAAAAAAAAAAAGTACTGATCCCTTCGGTACCCCGTTACAAATAAGCGACAGGTCAGATGGGTCAGAGCGTACAAACTGATTTCTATTTTGACAAATACAGTGGACCTCCGGTAATACGACAAACATTATGCAGGGCAGTGTCGGACTATCGAATTTGTCGGATTATAGAGCACTGCCTAAGCCCCCGATAGTCCGGAATTTTTTACAAAAGTGTACCTTGTAATCCGACAAATTACATATCCAATGGTAAGATTATATATGTTATGTATATGTATGTACTTTGAAGTACAAATCATACATAGTTTATGTATGTCGAATTTAGTAAATTAAATAACAATAGAGAGCTTACGTTTTATTATAAAATTAAGCATAAATGCACATACATATGTACCAAAATAATCAAGAATTATTAATCAAAATCATTAATGAATTTATCAAATTATGAAGCTTGGTAATATTCATCAATTTTTTTTTGTTTAAGGTTGTTATAACGCGAGATCAGAGCTTTGTCGCTCAGTCTTCTCAAAAGTAAAAGTTCGTTGTAAGATGTACCATTCTGTTCAGCCCATTGTAAACCTAGCTCAAAGGCGTTAATTGCGTCTTGTGCTGTGACTTGTGGAGCAGTTGCAATCACGTCATCGTTATTTTCCTGATTGTTTGTTGTATAATTAGAAACCTCTTTTATAATCTGTTCGTTAGATATTTCATTAAAAACATTTTCCTCTTTATCCATTCCGCGTTACCAGATTTCCAAATCTTCCGGACTTATCTGTGTTTCAGTAGCGATTTTTTCTATAACTTCCGAAGTAACACTGATTTGTGGAACGTTGCAAGGAGTGGTGACTATATCTGGCCATAACTTTTTCCAAGACGATTTAATACTTGTTGACGGTAACGCATTCCACGACTGACAAACCAAGTCTTTCATATTAAATTCTTTTAAAGTTTTTTCTATTGGTTGGTCTTTTGATACGGCTCTCAGAAGTAGGTTTTTCTTATAGTCTTGTTTGACAAACTGAATGATATTCTGGTCCATTGGTTGAATCAGTGCAGTGCAATTTGGCGGAAGAAACATCGCAGTGATGCATTTATCCTCAGTTGTTAGTTCTTCTTCAGACGGATGACCGGGAGCGATATCAAGTAGCAACAACGCTTTTTGAGGAAAATTATGATCTTTTAAGCGGTCTAAAATATCACATTTTTCTTTAATTGTCATTGTTTTGTGCTTTCGCATCTGAGTTTGTGATGACATTACTAGGTACTATACTTAATACACAATGAATAAATAGTAAACAATGAACGCACGCTAGGCCGTACCGCTATCACCAGTAGTCAAATTCAAACTAAGTAAAACAATGCTTACGCGTCGAGCATGATAGCGGTGGCGCGTACAAGTTGTAACCTGTTCAAACCTGCGTGATCTACATTAGCGAAGATTGTCAAATACGTATGTATGTAATACATGTTCAAAGACATGTCGGATTACAGGGGGCGCCGGATTAGACAGGGGCCGGATTATCGGGGGTCCACTGTACGAACAAATAGCGCTAGCTAGGTATTTTATGCCATAATATTCGAGTTTATTCAGTATATGTAAATTGACGCAATCAAATGCTTTCATAAATGGTTGCCTTCTATATTATACAGTATTTCCTCTAATTAGGGGAGCAGTGCTTTCATTGTGGTTGACTCTTTTCGAAATGTGAATTTTGCTACATAACGGATTATTTACTTTCGCTGTAGCTTGTTAATTTCTGCTTCACAATAATCTCAAAGATTTTCTCAATTACAGGTATCATTGCAATTGGTCTGTAATTATCGGCGGAGTCTCTGTTTTTTTTTTAATGAATAGGGATACTTTTAGAATTTTTGAACGCATCCTGACAAATACCATCGCGTATACATTTATTATAAAGTTTGTTTTCGAGGTATAGAACTTTAAGTTGGCATTACTTTTGAAGAGGGCGACCGATTTGACCACTGTCAAGTGATTTATTCTCAGTTTGGTTTGGGAATTCATCATGAATAGACTCATGCCTGAACAACGCTTGCAAATTGTGCAGCTTTATTTCGAAAGTAATGGTTCTGTGCGGGATACGTATCGCGCACTACGTCCATTTTATCGTCCACAAAATCGTCCATCAGAGCAGTTAGTTCGATTAACCATGGAACGTTTTCGCACCACATTTACTCTAATTGATAACTAGCATCCCCAGAGACGCCGTACGGTGCGTACAGAAGAAGAAATTGCTACTGTAGAGCGTAGCGTTGAGGAAGACCCGAATGAGTCCATCCGCCATCGAGCACAGGAATTGGATGTGTCCATCCACTTTATGGAAGATTTTGCGGAAGGATCTTGGTTTGCGTGCTTGCAAAATCCAACTCGTGCAAGAATTGAAGCCAAACGATCATCAAGCAAGGCGTATATTCGTTGAATGGGTCCAAAACGAGATTGCCGTTGTTCCCGATTTTCATAATCGAATTTTGTTTAGCGATGAAGCGCACTTCTGGTTGAATGGCTACGTCAAAAAACAAAACTGCCGCATTTGGAGTGAAGCTAATCCTCAAGTCTATGTCGAAACACCGTTACATCCAGAAAAACTGACTTTTTGGTGCGCTTTATGGGCTGGTGGAATCATTGGTCCGTACTTCTTCAAAAACGATGATGGCCAGAACATTACAGTCAATGGTGATCGTTATAGAGCCATGATTACTAACTTTTCATTCCGGAATTGAACAATCATGACGTCCAGGAGCTGTGGTACCAACAATACGGCCCAACATGTCACACAGCTCGTGCTACAATCGATTTATTGAAAGACACGTTTGGTGACCGCCTAATTTCACGTTTTGGACCTGTGAATTGGCCTCCAAGATCTTGTGATTTAACATCGCTAGACTATTTTCTGTGGGGCTATGTAAAGTCATTGGTCTATGCCGATAAGCCACAAACGCTTGACCATTTGAAATACAACATTCGCCATGTTATTGGAAAAAGTCATCGAAAATTGGACGTCGAGATTTGACCACATCCGAGTCAGCTGTGGAACATATATGCCAGAAATCATATTTAAAATGTAATGCCACAAGATTATCTTTCGAATAAAAAAATGCATGTCAATCGAATAATCCATCGTTGTTTTATTGCAATTTAAAGTTCTATACCTCTAAAAAAAACACCCGTTACAAAAGCACCAATGGTTCCATTAAGATACTATAGACGCTTTGATAATGGAACTTTTGAGTCCATAACAATATGTCGAAGGTGAATCTTTCATAAATAATATTGTCGTTCTGACATGTGGTAAAGTAATGTGTAGATATATCATATCTATTCATGTAATGTAATTTTTCTTGGTCTATTTTTAAATAAATAAATAAAAAAATGGATATTATTATTATGTAAATATGCTATGAACACTTCGATCCCTAATGTTCTTAAATCGCATAATCTTAGAACGTTCGTTAGGAGGATATTCTTCAAAGGGATGTGAACAGTATGTTCTGAGAACATGCTTGAATGTAAATTTCTTCATGTTTACTGGATATCCATCCCTCGTTTTCCAAAATATTTTCTTACCCAAATTTTCGATTTTCTTCACTTGATTATACGAAATATTCAGAGTATCCAATAGAGGACAACATTCCAAATTCTCAATCTTCTTAATTAAGTTGTAATGTAGGAACAGACTGCGTAGATCTTTTTGATAATCGAGCCCACTGATCTTCTTCAATCCATTATTTTCTAACCACAAACATCTCAGTCCTGTATACTCTTCTAGATTTTCTATATAGGAAAATCCTTTGAAGTGCAGATACAGTACGTCATTCAGACGTGGTGTTTGATAGAGTTTCTGTTCTCGACAGTGCTTCTTCAGATACTCTCGCGTCATTCTGTAAAGATGATAGCTTACTGATAATAATTACTGATTATTTTTCTTGTTTTAAAAACTCTGTAAAAAATTCTACCCTGGATTTGTACGGTTGAAAATTAATAACGCAGGCCAACATTTGACCAGTAAAAGCGGTGCTTCGGGTATTTTTGCGGTCGCTGAATTCAATGCCGGGGTCCATCGACTTCTGCCTCTAGAAGACTCTTCATTTCATACTGTATAAATAGTGTTATTAGAAACTGTTAGTAAATGTTAGGTATTGCAAGTAATATTGGTCATCGGAAGTGCTGCCGTAAGCAGACGAATGTTAAAGTTAACCATAAACGAATCAAAATGTTTCATTACACACAAGTTTACAAATTCATTGTGGCGTCAGGCTCAAGGTCATTTCAAGATCAAACTTAGAAAAAATGCCTAAAAATCGAAAAGCATATATTGTAATTTCTTGGACCGCTAAATCCATATCTGGCGTTTGTTTTTGATTAGCAAGATTGTCCACTTTGGCCTTGAAATAACCCTGATTTGACTTAGAATTAACCTTTGGATGTGCTTACCGGTAAAAGGAAGCTACTCCAGAAACCGATATGCGAGGGCTTTCAGGAAGGTTCAAACACTTTTACACACGTTGAACTTGATATAAACTTAATTTGACATTGAAATAACTTCTAGATGACCCCAGTTTCAGATTCAGCGCCCTTCAAAGTGTACGTGTGGAGGTTTTCTTCAAAGTGTACGTGTGGAGTTTTCAGATGGATTCAGACACTCTTACGGATCAACCCTGATATGACCTTGAAATTACCTCTAGATGACCTCGCTGGCTAAAACAATCGCCATTTGGATTTGGATTCGGAGACCCAAACAACGTGTAGTTAGATGATTTCAGGTAGATTGAACCACTTCTACAAACTTTTACCTTGATATAACCTCAATTTCACCTTGAAGTAACCTTAGGATGACCTCACTAAGCAATACACAGACCGCCAGGATTGGACTCAGTGAACCAAAAACTTCAATCTACTTTTTTCAAAATTTTGAAGCAAGTTTTCTAAATTTGGCCTTCGAATGGCTTTGAACCTGACGTGATAGAGGTCAACTAACCTCAGCATTGAGATTAGCGACCTTAAATACCTTTGGATACTCCTATGGGATCCAGTGATAACTCTTAGATTAAATGTTGACCTATGAAATCTTTGGAAGCTTTTCACGAATCCGAAATTGTATAAAAAACGGTATAACGGGTTCAGTTTGATACTCCCAAAATAAGATGAGAGATAGAACACAAAAAAGAATGAGCCCGCTGCACAGATTCATGCCCTTAGAGGAAGATAATGGAAATTGCTTCTGCTATTGAACAAAAACCAAATCGGAAATTATGATAGTAGAGTTTCGACTAGATCCACTGGTTCCGCGATTTTGAAAATGACGAATGTCTTAAAACTTAACATTTCGTACAATTATACAGGGTGTAAACGTTATGTCATTATTGAAATGGGTAATAGGGAGGTCAAAACAAGTCAAAAAGTTCATATGACCCATGGTCCAAAAGTCAATAGACTTTTGTCTAAATGGCTTTATTGTTTACAACTTTAAGTGCTTTATATCGACCACAATCTTACTCATTTTTATAATCTAATCTAAAACGTTTTTAAATTGGGTAATTAACAAATAAATGGCATTCAGTTTTTCTGTGTTAAGCCAAAATTAGTAAGTAAGTCAGTTTCATTAAATTAAATATTTAAAACACCTATGACAACACTCTTATCGAACCGGCAATCGATCGCAAATGGTAACAGTGCTTAGTTGTTGTTTTGCATAGATAAATTACTTTATCGTTTTGTCGAGCAGAGCATCGGGCGTGTTGTTTTGTTTTTGTTCGCGTCGTCGTCGTGTTTATTTACAATGTTCTCGAATCAAGAGTTCGCCGACATGTTGTTAGTTTACGGTGAAGCTCGTCAGAATTCAAATCTTGCAGCTCAAATTTATCGCCACAGATTTCGCCAACGGGTACACCCAGACAGAAGGACATTTGTGCAAGTGTACCAAAGTCTTCGAGATACAGGAAATGTTCAGCCCAGTAATATTCGCACTCGTGAAAGACAGGTTACTGTAGAGCAGGATGAACAAGTTTTAAATATCGTGGAAATCAATGCAGATATCAGCAGTCGGGAATTAGGCCGCCGCGTAGGACTATCGCGTACCATAGTCCATAGAATCCTAAGGGAAAATTTGCGTTATCCCTACCATGTACAACGAGTGCAGGCCTTGTTACCAGAAGACTATCCTCGCAGACTAACATTCTGTCAGTGGTTCTTGCATAAAATCATTGAAAATCCGGATTTTTTTATAAACATTCTAGCGACGGACGAATGTACTTTTACGCGAGACGGGATATTAAATTTCCATAATACTCACACGTGGGCCCAAGAAAATCCTCATACCATTCGTGAAGGTCATTTCCAACAACGTCTTACAATACATATTTGGGCGGGTATTCTTGACGACCAGGTAATTGGCCCTTTAGAGTTACCCCCAAAGTTGGCAGGAGAAGAATACCTTAGCTTTCTTGCCGATAACCTACCAGAACTTTTGGAACAGACCTTAGACAATATGCCATTACAACAGAGACAGAACTTGTGGTTTCTTCATGACGGGGCGCCAGCACACATCTTTAGAGGCGTCATTCAGTATTTGAATGAACATTATCCAAATTGCTGGATCGGTCGAAATGCTCCTGATCCTCGAAAATGGCCAGCAAGATCTCCTGACCTCAATCCGATGGATTTCTGGTATTGGGGAGAACTTAAAGGGATGGTTTATGGGGCTGGTCCAATAACAACTGAAGCACAACTTCGCAAAAAAAAATTAATGCGGCTGAAATAATAAATGGACAACTTCGAGGACCTATAGTAAGAAGAAACTGGGTTCGTCATAATGAAGCTTGTGTGGAAAGTGGAGGACGACATTTAAAACACCTTCTTTAAATACAAAAAAAGTGCAGTGTGAGTTTTAAAAAGAAAAACAATGTAGGTATGTATCAAAATTGTGTTCCCTATTTATAAATGGATTTAATACGTTCAATAAACTTTCCCACACCAGATGAAGCGCTGAGACATTTAGTGGTAAGTCCGTTTTTTTAATTGTTTGCATTTTACGAGTACATTATCAAATAATGAAATAATACCTAAGAGCCAAAAATAAGAAACTCCATCTTTATTTACACTGCGTTCCGTCGTAATTTGCGTCTGGCATTGCGGCGTTGTTAGATTTTATTTAACTGTAAAGTCTCTTTTCTCTAAAAGAATGCCGTTTTGACTCCCATGTCATATGAAACTTTTTACTTCTTTTGACACCCTCTATCACCCATTTAAATAATGACTATCATAACGTTTACAACCTGTATAAAACTTAAACAAATCGAAGACATTCAAAAAACGTTTCCTGAAAATTATGCTACAAAAAAAAGCACCCGCAACTTTTTGCTTTAAGATTTTTAATATACCAACACAAGAATAGACAAACGTTGATACCTAACCCCCACTGTTAGAATGCAAGGAACAAGTTAGAAAAAAAGAATAGGTATTTTTTCAAGCATCTTGAAGAAAGACTGAGCGAATGGATAGTGGGAACACCTCGCATGATTTTGCATAGTTACGAGTATACTCGTATAGACTTAGACAGCTAGCGTTCCGAAAATATTCGGACTTGCGTAAAATCCCTCAAATATATACTGAAAGCATTGTTCCATTCTATAGTAATATTAGCATTTAAGTTTTCATTCGCTAATTTTTATGGTTATGCGGAATAATACGTAATTTTTTTTTTTGATGATGCAGGGATGTGCCCGAAAATCATTATTCATTGGGGCGCTTCGTGAAAATTTCAACACACACCAGATGCTTGAAAATAGCTGATGATTGTGGAAATAATTAATAATAAATATATCATAATAAATAATATAAGACTATAACTTTGCTTTGACGATGTTAGTATCTTGCTTTTCTTGATTTCTATTATAGTCTGCAGCAATGAGAACATCACAAGATCCATTATACTGGGCATTTTCAGCTCATTTGATTGCATGATAAGTTTATATACACTTTTAAAAAGTCCTATATTAATTGTTTTACGACCAAGAACTTTTCGATCCATTTCTAATTTTGGTAGGTTGCATGTCTGTTATATCAATACCACGAAGATCAAACGTAATGTTCATGACGCCTTTATACAAACTGAAATAATCCTCATTGATGCGCGGTTACACGCTTCCATAGGACACAGCTATTTTCATACATATTATATTTTTAATGAGATTTCAATGATGTATGTACAGGGTGTTTCAAATTCCACCCTCATCATTGATGGGATCTTGGAAAGTGTAATAGATTCAGTCTTTTATATGGGGGAAAAATTACGTATTTAGTTAATCCAGGTAATCAACAAATTCAAAGTTCTTCCGGAGATAGACGAAAAAAAAACGAATTTTTCCAAAATCCTTTTAATTTTTGTCCTGACTTCAATTGTAGTGGGATGTCAAAATAAATTGCACATTAACATTGTCACTTTTTCTCCTCTACAAGATAGCATAATTAGAATTTCAATATGACGTTTCGTCATTTGTCGTCCAGTATCAACTTTATGTTTCCTTCTGGATGGCATATTGGATTTTTGTGCAGATGAATAGAGTTTTTAATTCTAATTTAGAAAATGTCATATGTCATACATTGATTAAACCTAAACCTTAGGCCCGTACCGTCAGTCGTCCCTACAATTATTGTAGGGCGCCTTTATGGCCTCCTTGATTGTCATAGTTTTCTGCTTCTCCGTGTCAGAACTCTATTTTGAGGTTATGTCACAAACATCTATTTGCATCAAATTGTGCTTGCTTTTGAGTTATATCATGTTTTATCAGCCTGAAATTTCCTACAATTTAAAAAGAAAACATATCTTCACAATAGGAGAGCGCTGACGCTGACACGGGACAAGTGTAATCTAGAAATTTTTGAAGGAGAGAAAGCAGTATGACAATCAAGGAGGCCATAAACGCGCCCTACAATTGTAGGGTCGACTGACGATACGGGCCTTAGGTATTTCATAAAAACAGAATTTCCTAGGTAGCCCTTGAAATTATCAGATTTCATTTGTTTCGTATACCAGACCACACCTCAAATTGAACATAGATAGCAACCGAGTCTCTAAGGCTGAGAAGCAGAGAAATACATCGAGCAGTGAACAATCAGAGAAGAATCAGGCTTTGCTTACACAATAACGGACATTTTGAGCATCTACTATGATTTACCTCTGTTTATTTATGATTATTATTGTTAGTAAAAGTAAAAATGTCATGATGTGTTTAGGTTTTACCATACCTTTTTATTTCCTTATAATTTTCATCCAACAACAAATTCATGGCCAACTAAGGAAATACATCACTGGAATTTAGGATTGAAAAGTCCATTTAAATGCACAAAGTTCCTATATAGAGTCCATATGAAAAAAAAGGTTGGAAGTTGAAAAATAATGTCGAACGGAAAAATTGACTACACCCTCTTGTAGAGAAAAAATAACCACATGCAATTTATTTTGAAATCTCATCTCAAATAAAGTCAGGAAAAATAAAAGTGATTTTGGGATGAATCTGGTATGCAAAACAAATGACAATCATAATAATTTCAATGCTTATCTAGAAAATTTTGCTTTTTTGAATTTGGCAATGCCAATGTATCCCGTATGGTACATTTTCGAAATCAGAATTGAAAATTCTATTCATCTGTGCAAAAGTCCAATATGGCGTCCATAAGAAAAAATGATGTTGATAATGCTGGAGGACAAGAGACGAAATATCATATTAAGATTCTAATTATAATAATAATAATAATAATAATAACGTCTTTATTGGATAACCCGGAGGGACATAAACAGCGAAGCTTAGCCAAGGCTACTCTTACACTTAACTGTTTATGTCGGTTACATCTGATGTTCAAAACATGGAAAAAAATATAAGAACAATGAAAAAAGAACACATATATACCTAAGTATAAAATACAAATAGACACAATCTATATCTGTAGCAGAAATGCTTATTTAATCAATAGCGAGCAACATGCTTTTAGTATGTTTACGAAAACTTTCCAAAGACATCAATTTAATACTGTTGTCCAACTGATTATAAAATAGTGCTGCATTATATGTGAATCCTCGTTGGAATAATGCAGAAGTGTGTGGGGTGGTTCTGATACTATAACGATTCCTGTCATGCACTTCGTAATTAAATCTTAACTTAGCTCTTAGATATTCAGGCTTTGATGACAATATTATTTTATGAACAAAAACTAAGAATTTATGTTTAACCAAACTTCCTAACCTAAGCCAGTTCAATTCAATATATTTATCACTTACGTGATCGTATTTACGCAACCCATAAATAAAGCGAACACAGTTATTTTGGATGATTTGAAGACGATTTTTGGTCAATTGATCCAAATATGGATAATAAACGACATCACAGTAACTGAGCATTGACATCACCAAAGATTCGCACAGTTTTTTTTTTCAGCTTAAAGTTAAGCAAGTAGCGATTGGAATAAAGAGCCCTAGAACGCAGGTAAGTTTTTTTCATCAAATTAGCTATTTGGCTGCGGAATCTTAATTTTGTGTCAATTTCCACTCCTAGTACCTTAGCTGTTTGAGTATGCTGTAATGTTATGCCATCAATAGTCAGATGGAAAGAATCTTCGACAGTTTTCCTCTTCTGATCAGAACAAAACAATAACACTTGTGTCTTATCTGGATTAATAGCAAGATTATGTTCCATAGAAAACTGATGTACCTTATCTAAATCAAGCTGTAAAATGTCTGATGAATTTTGCGTATCTGAGGCGTCGAAATGGAATATTATTTGAGTATCGTCAGCAAATGTTTATATCCCTGAATTGTCAACTGCTTTATGCAGGTCACACGTGTAAATCAAAAAGAGCACAGGTCCCAAAATTGAGCCTTGCGGACCTCCTGACGGAATAGTCGTAATATTGGATTGATCGTTATTGATTGTGACACATTGCGTGCGACCGGACAAATAGCTACGGAAAAAACTGACAGCAGCATCATCGAAGCCTATATACCTCAGCTTGGCGCACAAAAGTTTATGATTTATTCGATCGAATGCTTTGGAATAGTCAATTGATACCACTGCTGTTGCTAACTTTTTGTCAACTGCCCTAATAACATTATCACAAAGATCTAACAGTGCCGAGGTGGTACTACGGTGCTTCCTGAAGCCCGATTGACATGACGATATTATTTTAAGTTCCTCTATGTAATGGACAACTTGTTGCTGTATAATTTTTTCCAAAATTTTCGATAGCACCGGCAACAATCTAATGGGTCTAAGATGTTTAAGTTCAGCAGGTTTAGATATTTTAGGGACAGGTATAATTAGAGCCAGCTTCCACAGCTTAGGGTGGTAGTCATTATCCAAACATGATTTTATTATGCGAGTGATATGGAAAAAAGTTACGGGAAGACTTACTTTGACCATGGTTAGTGAGAGGGTGTCAATTCCTTTTGCATCTGATTTAATATCTTTGATTGCCTTCAATATTTCCACCGCCTCGACAACTCGCAAAGAAAAGCGATTTCGATTGTCCAATTTGTTGCTGTCATAAAACCGACATACATTTTCTGAGACACTGTCGTAACTATAAACTGATATAAAATAATTGTTAGTACTATTTGCATCGGCTAGCTCATCTGGTATTATTTGTTTTGAACGAGATTTTATGTTAAGCCTATTCATTCAGCCCAGACCATAAAGTTTTTAGATTATTTTGATCAGTTAGATTCTGAATGTACTCTTTCTTTTTAATTCGAATTTTATGCCATGCCATCTTGTAGAGGAGAAAAAGTGACAATGCTAATCTGCAAATTATTTTGAAATCTCACTACAAATAAAGTAAGGAAAAAATTAAAACGATTTTGGGAAAATTCAGTTTTTTCCGTCTCTCTCCGGAAGTACTTTGAATTTCGAGACTTTCTAAGCGAAATTTTGCGGAATCACCTAAATGCGCAACTTTTCCCCATTTAAGCGAGTTCGTATCTCTTACAATTTCCGATATCTCAATGGTTACGTTATTATTATGATCGGCGTCTTCTAAGCAATAAACATGTAAGCCCACTCACCTTGGGCCTTTGCATAGGTCTTCTATGGTGGTATTGGACTTTAACTCCTTGACTTCATGAACTTTATTCTCATTTTTTGGCGGCAGCTGAACAAGCGTAGACATTTTTACACAGTTTTAAGACGTTTTGAAACGTCTATAGGACATCGATCAAACAGTTTGGGTTGCTACGGATACATTCCTGTTTGTGACTTTATGGTGGCGGCTCTTTTTGAGTGAAATTCAGAACATTCATACATTGTTGGTTCCTTGACTTTGTCTGGTTTCTGGGCAACCAGGATTGACAGATTCGACTAACGTACATTAGACAGTGACTCTTTGGAAAAGGTCCTACGGACCGTCCAGACAAACAAATGACGAATAGTATTTACATTGTTGGTTCATTATGCAGAACGCTGCATACAAGCTTTAGGTTAACCAAGGCCCCACGGACCGCTCTAACAGTCCATGATGAATAGAAGACAAACTTTAGGAGGCGCTTTGAGCATCGTGGCTGGGGCTTATGGCATGTTAACCGGTGTGGTTCAGCAGCGTTGCCAGATGATCGATATTCAGGGTGGTGAAGAAACTAACGATAGGGTAATCAAATGGTTGGGGACTATGGAGTATGGACTAATTGTATATGAGCATGTTTGGCTGATTTGACCCATCTAGTTTTTTTGTTATACAAGTTTATATCCAGCTCAAAAGGGCTAACTTGGCCCTAACATAATTCTTTATAAAATGATGATGTCAGCGTTGCGTAGGAAGTGCAGAGTCAAACTACTTGCCCCTTTTTTTTTAGATTTCCTACTGTCCTGTTGATTAATTTAGTTGATTTATGAATCTGGGCAGATTAAATAGATCAATTCTGTAAAACGTAATTTAACCTCGCAATTTTTTTGTCTTTTAATCAACATCGGAACTCTAAGAATGTCAGAGCTTTCCAACGTCAACGTGAACAACAAGGGCGGATTTAAGATTTCGTCTAGGGGGGGCGCAAACGATATTTGGTACTGGTAACCTCAGTGGAACTTCTAGAATTTATCCTATTATTGCTCCTCGAATCCATTGTGTTCTATCTGGTCAATATCAGCTTGAAACAAAAAGAAAATGCTCAGAAAGGCTATATTTTATTATATAAAAAATCATAAAAAACGTAACTGTTCTGTTAACCGAAAAAAAAAACATTCTGAGGGACCCCGAGACATATCCCAGTCCATTCCACACAAAACAATGTCTTTGATGGCAAAAACGAATATGAGACCGAAAAATTCACATTATCGTTTGGCCGATAGACGAGACAAAGAAGGATGTCCATAGACCATCTATAGATCGTGTCTTGAGACCGTGTCCAGACTGCTTATAGGCAAATTGCGCAACGGGGTCTACTAGTGTGTACCAAGCTTAAGGACTAAGACTAAACACAACAAGTAATTGGTGCAAATACTGACACAATCAAGCACTTCTATTATATTAGCAGGTGATAAAAATATCAATAGGTATAATCAATTATTTTTTGAAATTAAATATAGATGTTACAGTTATTCTTCAGACTTTCGTTGTCGAACTTGGATTTACGGCATAGTTGTTTCCTTAGTTTTCGAATAGTAGTAAAAATGTTGTAAAGCTTTGGAAAAAACTATATCTGTTAGATCGTTATTATTTTGATTGTGTGTAGGTAGATTTGTACGAGAGAAGTACAGGACTACATGGCTGTACATATTCACGTGTAGTGCAGAAGCTCTGTGATTTAAAATGATTCAATATAGCATCATAAATATACTAAGTGACATATAAATCCGAACACCTAGTTTAAATGGTTTTATTTTAATAAAAGTTGGTGAATGTATTTATCTTACTGTAAATAACAAGTGAAAAAATTTTCAGCCTTATCAGTTGGACATTCCGATTTTTATACTGCTTTTTTTTAATTCACTAACGCTCTAAAAATGAATATTTCAGCCGCAGTAAAGAATCAACGTTGGCGGATTTTGGTTCTTGACATCCTTTACCATCGGTTACGATGCCTACAGTACGGAGACCTGTACGATTTCGTCAACTTAGTGAGTTTGATAGGGGCCGTATAGTGGGACTTCGGGAAGCTGGACCTTCTTTCCGGGCAATTCCAGTTAGAGTGCAAAGAAGTGTAGACACTGTGGTTAGGTGTTGTCAGGCATGGCTTCGAGAAGGCCGTACGCAAAGAGCAAGGGGCACTGGACGCCGCCGTAGAACAACAGACCGTGATTATTGGCCTTAAGGGACCGTTTCTCCACTACCAGGTCCATTGCAAATGAATGGTTTGCAGCACACGGAAGACCTATTGGCATGCGAAGTGTTTACCGACGAATGAGAAGTTTTGGCTTGTTTTCATACCAGCCACACTGGGTCCTCCCTTTAACTCGAGAACACCGACGTAAACGCCTTGAGTGGTGCAGACAACGGTCACTCTGGGTTCAGGAATGGAACAGCATTGTCTTTAGTGACGAGTCTCGATTTTGTTTAGGCATGCACGATGGTCGTGCCAGGGTTAGAAGGCGACGTGGTGAAAGGAGGAATCCACAGTTTTTTGTTGAAAGACATGTTCATCACGCTGTTGGGGTTATGGTTTGGGGTGCTATAGCTTATGGTTCCAGGTCACCTTTAATCTTCATCAGAGGTAACATGAACGCGCAGCGTTATATCCACGAAGTTCTAGAACCCCATCTTTTACCCTATCTTGACACCCTGGCAGATCCAACTTTCCAACAAGATAATGCCCGACCACATGTTGCAAGAGTCACAATAGACTTCTTTCAACATAATGATATCACATTGTTACCATGGCCACCAAGATCTCCCGACTTATGCTCAATTTGCAACGTCCTCCTCAGACTCTAGATGCACTTCGAGAGGAGTTGGTGGTTGCCTGGAATGAGATGCCACAATAGGACATTGACCACCTGATCAGAAGCATGCCTAGGCGCGTTGGAGAATGCATAGCACATTAGGGTGCATCCACACATTATTAAAGGTCAAGGGGCTTTAAAGCAGTGCAATCATTTTGAAATTTTTACCATTTACTTATTATGCTTCACTAAGTACTTATACACAATTTTATTAAAATAAAACCATTTAAACTGGGTGTTCGGATTTATATGTCACTTAGAATAGACACATACGCTGGAAGAGTGGACTTTGAGCATCGATCGACGTATTTCCTGGACAGGCCACAGGCGCACCGCTAAACAAATCTCATGTCTATTTCCAGTTTAGGCGTTCATCTAACATAGTAAGTCCTTCGCAGCAATACCAACCCCGAACAAAATCGATCAAGCTTTACACTTTTCAAACTACTATTGAGCAACTAACAGAACATTTTTAAGTGCAATCTGTATAGCTAATATATTACTCAGACTTAGATTTGTCACAAGTCACAATACTCGTATATATGTATAAATCGTAAGAATTGTGCTGTAAACGTAAGCGTTTGGAATAGCAAGTGATACCAAAAAAATCGTAATGCTCAGTTCCTATAGCTGTAACTTAGTATGCCATGATGTGTCAGAAAGTAACAGTTAGATTACAAAAACAAGTGTGAGACGTCTAGGGGAGCACCCCCCCTATATCCGCCACTGGTGAACATTCGATTTTATCTGATCCATTTCTGAACTATCTTGCATCATAATTCCTTATCTACCACCTAGAAATGTTTTTGTTGCTAGGCAACAAAAATATATAATGAACTTGCATTTGATAGGTGGAATTATTTGATACATTCACATTTTTTTCATATGTATGAGCATTTTGTAACGCATGTATTAATTGTAAGCTGTAACACAACTTTTTAAAATATATTGCGGCCTGAATGATTTCTGTGAATGGTAAAACGCAATCTAGGAAGATTTCTTTCGAAAAATACTTCTAAAAGGACCGTATAATCTGTCGTTCCTATAATTTATTGTGCGATGGCTGTATGGCCTCCTTGATTTTCATAGTACCTATCTTCTATCCTTCAGAAAAGCTCGGGTATGTTTAGGTTTCTACTGTTCCGCGTCAGCGTCCTTTAATTGTGAGGTTATGTTTTATTTTTGAATATTAAGAAACTTTAGGCTGATATAACAGATGATAAAAATCAAGTTTTACGAGCTTTAAATTTCGTAGAATTTAAAAAGAAAATATAACCGCAAAATTCAGCACTGAAGGATAAGAAAAATTATGAAAATCAAGGAGGCCACAAAGTCGTCCTACAATTGTAGGAGAGACTGACGATATGACCATTACACAGTGTATAGCATTTTCAAACTTTGACAGCATCATTGTATATGTATATAGTATCTACTAATAGCAACAGTTTAGCCAATAATCTATGATTATACCAATACATAGTTCTATAGAAATGTTGTAAAATGGAAGATAGGAAGCAGCGGTGGCCGCAGTAGTAGACTCTTCGGTCTCCTGATCAGTCGCCGTGCGCTGTGCGGGTTCGAGTCCCGTCCCAGGAGAAATTTTTCTCTTGGCTATGGATGTTGTGATGGTCCGTAGGTGGTAGACGGTCTCTGACTGTCAAACACGGAGGTACCACCGGCGGATCTCGTAAGCGGAGCCAGAATGTGTGCATATTGCATGCACACGTGTTCCCTCGCCAGAGTCCGTGTGGCGTTCCCCCTTTCCCTATAGCCCCACTGTACCCAATGGCTGCTTAGGCCTTAGGCCTTCGTGGTAGTTGGAGTATTAAAAAAAAGTATTTTAAGAACGATCAACCTTTAACAGCATTTTTTTTATTGCGATAACTTTTTTTATTAATTTGATAGTGCTTCTATGCAAATTATGTTCTCATAAAAAAACTTTATTTTGAAAAATAAGGGAAAAAATAGTTTTTGGCTATTATATTTACCCACTATTCTCAGAAAAACCTCAAGGAATAATCTGTTCCCGGTGAACATAGTGACGTCATAATTTCGGCATTTTTAGGACACCGACCAACAAAAATGACGTAGAAATTACGTCCTTGTGACGGTCTAATGACACACCCAATTAACGTCATAACATGACGTCATAGTATGTTGATATGACGTCTGTATGACGGATATGACGTCTATTTGAGGTCGATATGACCTCGATATGACGTACCCTCGCTCGCAAAAATAATCGCGCGGTGTATTCAAATGCACCTGAAAAATTGAGATGTGTCAACGGCGCCCCACAATTAGTCCGTTCAGAGGTGGTAGAAATACGCCGAAACTGATATTCTACCATAAAAATGGAGCCAATAAAGATGTTATTTTTTAGTCAATGACGTTTTCGACCAAAAGTGACCGACTGACCTACTTCAGTGCATTTGAATCAGCGTATTTTATCGGACTTCTCCATAGTCGTGATCGCCACCAAAACTTATATACTCAGAGCTCGGAGTAACTATTATGATGTTAACCAAAGATAGATTTTTGGAATAAGACAAAAAGAGGTGTTCGACAAATCTTGTTTTTCATAAGTAAAGGGTGTCTCAGAAATATTTTCGTTTTTAGATCAGTCCTCTGGCGGAATACGCATGCTCCGGAGAAACGAGACAGTTGACAAACGTTTGGCAACATTGTTAAATTTTAGTTGCAATGGAGCGTTTTACAGGGCGGCAACGTGCTTTTTGTGTTCGCGAGTTCTATAAAAACAAGGATTCTTATGTGCTTGTACGTCGTTTGTACAGAAATCATTATAACATAGCAAGAATGAGAGATGTCCCAAGCGCAAATTTAATTAAATATTGGGTAAGAAAGTTCGAGAGCACTGGAAACACGTGTATTAGTAAACCGCCTGAACGGCCAAGGTCAGCAAGATCGAACGAAAATATTGAACGTGTGCGCCAGTCCGTTAACGAGGATCCCCGGCAATCATTAAGACTGCGTGGAGCGTCTCTAACTTTGCATAAGTCAACTGTTCATCGCATTATTCGCAAGGATTTGCATTTTCACCCATACAAGATTGTTGTTACACAACAATTAAAACCACAAGATCCCGCTAATCGATTAGAGTTCTGTAGAACAATGAGAGAGCATTTTAACGGTTACAACAACATATGGTTTTCTGATGAATCGAATTTTCACATTAACGGGCATGTTAATAAACAAAACTGCCGATATTGGGCCGAGCAGAACCCGCAAAATCTTCATGAGACGCCATTACACTCGCCTAAAGTTATCGTCTGGGCTGCTATGTCAGGGCAAGGAATCATTGGCCCGTATTTTTTTGAAGACAATCGTGGCCAAGCTCAAACTGTAACATCTGAGCGCTACTGCCACATGATTAGGACTTTTTTAACTCCAGCTATACAGAACCATGGTGGCTACAATAGAAACACGTTTTTCCAGCAAGATGGAGCGACTTCTCATGTCACGAATGAATCCTTGGATGCTCTTCATCAGTTATTCCCAGAGAGGGTCATCAGTCGCAGAGGAGACATTAACTGGCCACCGAGAAGTCCCGATTTGACACCAGCAGATTTTTTCTTATGGGGATACCTGAAGAGTAAGGTATACACCCCACCGCCACAAGATTTGAGAGAGTTGAAGCAAAAAATAACAGATGAAATAAACGCCATTCCTCGAGCAATGCTTCGGAGAGTGATCGAAAACTTCAGTTCGAGATTAAGAGAGTGTGAAAACATGAACGGTGCTCATTTATCCGATACTCTTTTCCATAAATAAAATTAATGTTTAGGCTTTCGTTTGGTAATAAATTTATCTTTGTAAAAATATTTTAAGTATTTTTATTTATGGCATAAAATAAGAAAATATTTATGAGACACCCTATACAAATTGAATTCCCAAACATCTTGGCCATCTTTTTGATTTCTTCCACAAACGGTTAGAAAGGAAAGGAGCTAATACTCCAAGAAGTAGCTTCTCCTTCTTCTTAACGTGTTTTACATAAAATTGCATCAAAAATTGCTTAAACAATCTTTTCACAAATTCCATAAATAGTTTATCTGATCCGAACAAAGTTTAGCTTTCGTGTTGCGTGCCAAAACAACATAAATAAATGTCGAGTAGCTATTAGAAGCCATAGAACAGAATCCGCAAAAATACGTGCGTTCTGTGTTCGACAATTGCAGCAATCTAAATTAAAAAAAATAATAAGTCAGGCAATCTAAGTGGTTCTTGAAGCCTGGCCCTAAAATTTTCTGAGATTGACTGGTTTGGAAAACATAGAAGTACAGCATTTTACTATGTCAGTTTATTAATATAATACCATTTTTTAATTAATATTGATTGTATTAAATATTTCTAAACATCAACCACCGTCCATCGCATCGTGCAGAAACGCAGGTGCCGTTAGTGTGCGTGAGGCTTTAATGCGGCGATGGCCTGAATGCTTCGTGCCTAATGTCATGCTGACGCTGCCGTTGTCGTATGTCAATTTTGAATTTCAACGCGCCAACAGTCTGATCTGTCATAGCTATTTTAAAATAAACGAAATCGATTTCCCAAGCCCAAATATTGTTAATTTAATGGTAATTTTATGTGCTTTGTGTATTGTTGTATCGAAATAAAAGTCTGACAAGATGCCGTGCGAAATGATAACATTGCAGCTGGGCCAATGCGGTAACCAGAGTATGTAAATAAAATATTTTTTGTTTGAGGTTATATTGTAAACAATTTTTTCTAGTCGGATTCGAGTTTTGGAAAAGGCTTTGTGCTGAACATGGTATCAACCCTGAGGGAATTTTGGAAGATTTTGCCACAGAAGGTAGTAGACACATTATTCGCATAGTGAACAATAAGTAACTTATGTCGGTAACACAAGTACTTCAGCAATTGAAACATATTTAAAGGGCTTATCTTAAAGTTAGGACCTTTTTTAAGCAACATACATGAATATGTCATCTTAAATTACTGTTTCTTTTAAGGCATTGACAGAAAAGATGTATTCTTCTATCAAGCAGATGATGAACACTACATTCCAAGAGCTGTACTCCTTGATTTAGAACCAAGAGTGATAAATACGATATTGAACTCGCCATACTCAAAGTTGTACAATCAAGAAAATGTATTTCTGTCCAAAAATGGAGGAGGTGCTGGCAACAACTGGGCTTCTGGGTACTCACAAGGTAGAGTTCGGAGAGTGATGGGTCCGTTTCACAGACTAGTTAACACTTAGTATGTAAAATATTGGGAATAGATAATGTGTCATGGTGTAAAGAACCTCTTTTTTGCTAGATGAAGCTTTTGCAATTCATTGTACATATCTTACATTTTCTAAGAGTCTTTATTTTGAGACTGTCCTTTACTGTGTGTATTCATGTTATGCAACAATAAGCAAATTGTAAAAATGTAAATGCAACGCAACCTGGCATCTTATGAGAAAAGGTATGATATCCGTGACTATCCAAATTGAACTCTGTATGGTGTGCAGGTTAATCTAGTTTAGTTACATATCCAATTGAAAAACCAGAATTGGCACATTCCTAGTGCAATAACGGCTAACAATTTCATGTCAGGTTACAGTGGGTGACTTCAACTTACTTTGATACTTATTATAATTATTATTAGTACTACAGTAATAGGTGGAAAAGTCTGTTGACATTGTTGTGTAAAGTCTTTTTATGCTGGATAATGTATGAAACATGCTGCTCTGTCTTCTAGTTCCTTATCCAGCTTATTTTTGAATAAATTGACAATTATCGCATCCTGTTTCCTCACTAAGAGAGTTTGATGAGTATACCACACAATTTGAAATGTATTTTTTTCCTTATCAAATTAGATTTTTACTTTTTCTAATTTTTTTGTGTTCCTCGGAGGATGAAGATTCTGACTCATATTGAATATTGGAAGGGTACATGAGTAACAGCCACTGATGATCTTGGATGTCTCAATCAGGTTCCCTTGTGATCTTCACTCAGCGAGTGATGTCAAATTCGTAGCCCTTAGACATTGTTCATATGGCAAACGTCAATTCTCTTGTGAAATTCGCATTGTTTTACAATGTAATGTTTCCAGTAGTTCGATAACTTTGACAAAACATTTCATGAGTGTATTCAGATTGTCGACTGGGATGTTTCTATCTGGAGCTGCATACATAGGTTTCTTTATATCATAAAATGTCATTTAGGTGTACTCAGTAGAAGACCTTGGCAGCCCCAAATGTTCAGGCTAGCCTCTATAATAATAAACTATGAAATTTTATTTTCTGGATATTGTAGATCTCCCGAAATAGCAGCGGTGACCGCAGTAGTAGACTCTTTGGTCTCCTGATCAGTCGCCGTGCACTGTGCGGGTTCGAGTCCCGTCCCAGGAGAAATTTTTCTCTTGGCTATGGATGTTGTGATTGTCCGCAGGTGGTAGACGGTCTCTGACTGTCGAACGTGGAGGTACCATCCGGCGGATCTCGTAGGCGGAGCCAGAATGGGTGCATGTTGCATGCACACGTGTTCCCTCGCCAGAGTCCGTGTGGCGTTCCCCCTTTCCCCTGTATCCCCCTATAGCCCCACAGTACCCAATGGGTGTTTAGGCCTTAGCTCTTCGTAGTAGTTGAGTATAAAAAAAAAAGAATAAAAAAAATAGTAGCAAAAGCAGAAACTAGAAAAAAGTCTTTGGCTAATGACATTCTGTATTATTGGCTTCATCTCCAGTACTTCACATCTTCTGTGGTTCACTGTACATAATGTGCATTGGTCACCAACTTGGCTCTAATTACTCAGTACATTTCTGAAGTACTGGACGGTCAGGGACAAGTTGATGTCATCTACACAGATATTCAGAAGGCGTTTGATCAAGTTGATCATTATGCACTTCTGGATAAGCTTAAAACAGTGGGTATGTCTGATGCAATGCTGTTTCTCATGAATTCATATTTGAGGGATAGAAGCTTATTTGTCGAATATGGTGGTCATAGGTCGAGTTACTATGGGCCACGTCCGGGGTACCTCAAGGGTCAAATCTAGGTCAATTATTGTTTTTGATATTTATTAATGACTTGTCTTTTGAACTGAAGTGTTTCCATTTGTTTTTCGCTGATGACCTTAAAATCCGCACGTCAGTCAAGACAGTCGAGGATTGCGTCATGTTGCAAGATGACTTAGCTCTAATTTCGTCATGGTGTTCACGAAACTGTCTCAGTCTGAATGTTTCGAAATGTAAAGTTATGACTTATACAAGAAAGGTTAACTATTTAATTTATGATAATTATAACATCAATGGTCAGGTTATAGACAGATGCACCTCTTATAGAGACCTTGGAGTCACTTTTGATACCAAGCTAACGTTTACTGAGCATATACTCAATATCTCGTCGGCTGCCACTCGACTATTTGGTTTCTGTATCAGAAACTGGAAGGGTTTCTCCAATGTTGATACATTAATGACTTTATTTTTTACTTTTGTCAGGAGCAAGTTGGATTATGCGACTCTGATCTGGTCTCCTATATACCAAAATTCTGTCGTGATCCTTGAGGCCATTCAACGTAAAGCTTTAAAGTATTTTCACCTTAAATGCACAGGTTCTTATCCAGAAAGAGGTTGTGACCATAGTGCCCTATTAGAGTTTTTCAATTTGGATTCACTGTCAACAAGACGAAACATATTTGCTTTGTCGTTTTTGTATGGCCTCATTCACAATAAAATTGACTGTCAAAATTTACTTGAAAAAATATGTTTCCGCGTTCCAAGGCTAGGGAGTCGACAACAAACGGCATTCTATTGTCAAGCTGGCCGTACAAATGCTATGACAAAATCGCCAATTAATCTCATGTGCTGCGTCATGAACAGTGTTACTGAATCGTGTGATATTTACGGTGACAGTTGTGCATCGATTACTAACTGCTATAGATCATCCAATCTTATATAGAATGTGTGATACTATAGATTTAAGTCCAAGAACCATGCCTCTTTAATTATTATTGTTTTCAGCATTTCCTGTAATTGGGTTTCACCTGTTGGAAATAAATAAATAAATTGGTCCATGCTATTGTAGATATGAACGTCAGGAACTGTCATATTTATATACCTTGTCTCTAGACTAACAGTAATGATCAATTCATTTTCAGGAGAAAAACTCAATGAAGAAATTTTTGACATCATTGATAGAGAAGCAGAGGGTAGTGATAGTTTGGAAGGTTTTGTTCTTTGTCACAGTATTGCTGGGGGCACAGGATCTGGAATGGGCTCAAATATCTTGGAGAAGCTATCAGATCGATTCCCGAAAAAGCTCGTACAGACTTACAGTGTATTCCCAAATTTAGATGAAATCAGGTATAAACAATGGCAATGATAAAGTATCACTCTCACTGTGTTTTTTCTAGTGATGTCGTTGTCCAGCCATATAACTCCCTGTTGACATTGAAGAGGCTGACAGAATCTGCAGATTCAGTTGTAGTCTTGGATAATACAGCTCTAAACAGGATAGCTGCTGATAGATTGAAGATACAAAATCCCACATTCACACAAATCAACAGCCTTGTCAGTACTATCATGTCAGTCAGTACAACTACCTTAAGGTAAGAAAACATCTGTATTTTGTAGAGGGACAATTTGCTTATGAAGTTTTTGCTTTGATAACCCTTTTGGAATGATTACATTGAAATATCCACCATGACTACAAGGGTTTTCCTGCTTCCATTCGTTGTTCACGATCCCACAACGCGTCCGTATTGTTGAAACGTTTTACTTAAATAATGAGTCGATTGTGCCCAGTGTCAACAGGTGCTGAAATTTGGACAAACAGGTGAAGTTAAAGACTGGCCAAGGTCGGGCCGTGTTCGAACTGTTCGTATTCCGGAAAATATCAAGAGAGTTCGTGAAAGTGTAGTGGAGCGCCCTGAGACGTCTACCTGACATCGTTCTCAAGAACTGTGTATTCGTCGCACGTCATTGTGCACTATTAAGTGGTGAACATGAAAGTTGTCGACAATACAGTCATGCACTATTGCAGCTTAATACCCAAAATAACGATTTTTACCGACAATTGATAATGAGCGATGAAACCCAACTTCGAAATGAACGGATTTGTTAATAAGCAGAATTGTCGTATTTGGGAATCGTGTCATTCATCAGCGACCACTACTTACTCGTCGAGTCACAGTTTGGTGAGGCGTTTGGTATTGAGGTGTGATTGAAGATGCTGCACGTAATTCTCTTACTGTCACTGACGAGCGCTACCGTGATATGGTGCACAACTTTCTGGCTCCTTAAATCCAACAATTTAACCTGCAAAACATGTGGTTCCAGCAGTACGGAGCAACTTGTCACACAGCTAAGGAAACAATCAATCTTTTGCGAACAATATTTCCGGGACGTTTAATTTCTCGATTTGGTGATGTCAACTTGCCACCAAGATCACCGGATTTAACGGCTCCAGACTTTATGAGAATTTTTGAAAAATAGGGTTTATGTCGACAAACCAAATACTGTAGAGCAGCTGGAGAACAATATTACGGAAGCAATTGAGAATATTCCTCCCGAAACCTACCAAAAATTGATAGAAAATGTAATATCGGCCACCCTATACTTGACAAAAAAATATGGTAGGAATTATAAATTATTTTGTGTTGAACTGTTACATTTTAATTGTAGGTACCCTTCGTACATGAACAATGACCTGATGGGTCTTTTGGCACCGCTTATCCCAACTCCTCGGCTACATTTCCTAATGACAGGCTATACACCTCTGTCAACGGACACGGACGAAGCCAGTGTTAGGAAAACCACAGTACTAGATGTCATGCGTCGTCTGTTGCAGCCGAAAAATATGATGGTATCTACGGCGCAGGATAGGAGTTCCGAACATTGCTTTATCTCGATTTTGAACATCATTCAGGTAAGAAAAAGTCGTTTAATACTGTATATACACCTTAGGAAAAACCATTGTTATACATGAGAAATCATTTCTTGGCAACAGCGCATCGGCTCGTCTACTTTCATCGCTATTCGTACATATTTCCTACCGTTAACGCGCGTGCCGTTGTCAAGTGCGATAAGGGATTCATGACTCACTCTGCGGTTGGGTTTTGTGTAGGAAAGGTGCGTCTTTAGTTAATCCAAAATATCTTAAAAATGTACTCGCAAGAAGAAAAGTTTCAAATGATAGAATGGTACATCCAGAATAATTCAGCACGCGCGATTGTTGAATTATTTGCGGTACGCTTCCCAGATCGGCCAATTCCGTCTCACGCAACGGTTATAAATACCTACGAAAAATTCAAGAGGGTGGGCTGCTTACATAAGTGCCATAGCTGCATGCACCCTGAAGGTTGGAAACCAAAAATTAGCTAGAAAAGGGAGGAGATCGAAACTGCTGTTTGTGCCGCTGCAGAAGTATCTGAGCCATGCTCAAGCAGAAAAATTGCTGAAATGGTACCAATAGCCGATCTCACACCCAGAACAACAAGAAATATTTTGCATCGCAACGGCTATCATAGCTTCAAGGTTGGAACGGTTCAAGAAATATTTCCTTTAGACAAATACCGTCGAATGGAGTTTTGTGAAACGGTCATGGAGAAGGCGAACAGGGATGGAAGTTTTATTGGTAACATTTTGTTTACTGATGAATCCACATTCCCTCTCCACGGTCATCACAATCCTTCAGTCGTTCGGTATTGGTCTCGGGAAAATAAAAACCTCAGTATTCCCGTCCGCACGCAGTATCCACAGAAACTGTATGTGTGGGCAGGAATTCTAGGTAATAACATTATCGGACCGTTCTTTATTGATGGAACTCTTACGGCTGCAAAATATTTGGCGTTACTACTTGCAATTAGGCAGCTTGGCATTGATCTCGCTAATATTTGGTTCCAACAAGATGGATGCCCGGCGCATAATGCGGCGATCGTACACACTTACCTTGAAAGTGTGTTCGGCAACCGGATTATTGGCGGTAACGGAACAATAAAATGGCCTCCTAGATCACCCGTTCTAGCGCCCAATGATTTTTTCTTGTGGGGTTATGTGAAAAGTACTGTTTACACTTTCAATGAGAGAGCAGACAATTTGCATAACCTACAGGTGAAAATCGTTGAAGCGCTCGGGCAAATACAGCCTTCTACCCTCTTGAGAGTTCGTCAGGAGTTTTATAACCGCCTGACATACTGTTCATTGAATGAAGGAGACGTTTTTGAGCCCCAGCTGTGAAGGACCATTTGAAACATTTGTGTTCATTATTGCGTTTTATTTTTGAGAACTTATTTTTTTGTTAGAATATCTTTTTATTTTCGTTACACATTTTTAAGAGTGTACTATTTTTTGTTAGAGTGGGTATCTTCTTATTTTTGTTATAAGATGCAACCTTTATTGCTACAAAACCAATTATCCATTCATAAAAATAAGTAGAGTGATTTAGGTGATTTCGTGAAATCTCGAAATCACCGAAATCGGTTCACAGGACGTCCAATCGAACTGGTGCGTAATGCGCGCATCTACTGTACTTCTTCTGTCGACTCAACGCATACTGAAATTTGCAGCAGACCGCAGACCTGTATCACGAATGAGAATAATAGGCAGATACGCTGTGTTGCCAATTTGAGTAGAGCTTCCCGAATTGTGGGGAATTTAGAGTTAAGTGTTGATTCATTCAAGCTTTTAATCAGCATGGCCTAGACGTTAGAACTTCATAAAGATAACATTGAAGCTGAATGCTGCTGGAGTATAGTGTTTCGAATATTCAAAGCGGAGCTGGACACTATCCTCGTTCAATGGGTCATCAAGCCACAGTCTTTTCAACAAAGAAATTATTTTACGAAAATGCGTTATATTTTTACGATTTTGTCGTCACCAATTCTCTGTTTCTCAAAATGTACGTCTATTGTAGAATTTTCAGCAAACTAAGCAAGAAACGTGATCTAGTATTTACTCAACATTACGGATTTCTCGAAATACATTAAAAAATGTGACCTAGATACCTAACTGCCCCAAGCTCTTTAAATATAACAACTTAATCCAGGGTTACCAGGTGCTCAGTCACGTTGATTGTCATGTTGTACTGCGCAAGTCAGCAAACAATCTGGCGTAATAAACGTTAGGAATCATCAGGTATTGCCAGAATCCCGAATACCGGGCACCATAGTACCCGTTATAGTTGTCCTTCAAAGTTGTCAAATCGCCCCTATGGCGCAAATTCGCCACACCAGGCAACTGTGCTATAAACAAACCCTGTTTATCACTACTATTTGATAGTCATATGGTAGTTGTAGCCCTATCTAGCAGTCCATGGTTTCTCTCAATACTGTTGTATCTCTACTGGCAACAAGAATAGGGATTACAAAATCATTTATACAACAATATACAAACATGAAAAATATGATTTGAACCATGAAACATTAATACAATTTTAATAGTTTGAACTTTTTTCATTTTTGGAATACTCTTATGTGGAATCCGCAGCTATTTTTCCCGAAATTTGGGTAGACTTAGATTTCTTAGAAATATGACATATTGGTATTGGCAACTCTGCGAATGGGAGAAACAAATCGCATTTGTTGAGCGCATCCGTCTAAGCAGCAGGCGCCAGCGCCGGTTCTGCCATCTCGCTTTTATCACTCTTCTACTTTACCCCGTTGTCCGTCACACTCCGACGCTGCCAGATAGGATCCTACAATCGAGTGTCTTTCACGCACCTACATACTTTTGTATATTTCCATCTCTCTTCCTCATCATAATGTATAATAATGTTTTTTCCTAAGCTGTATGTAGATATTTTAACGAGTTTTCTTCTAGGGTGAAGTGGATCCGACTCAAGTACACAAATCTTTGCAGAGGATAAGGGAACGCAAGTTGGCACAATTCATCCCATGGGGGCCAGCAAGCATCCAAGTGGCCCTATCCAGGAAATCTCCCTATATCCAATCTGCACACAGAGTCTCCGGTCTCATGCTTGCCAACCACACCAATATCAGTACTGTAAGTAAATAATACTAACGATTTTCGTGTTCGTTCACTTACTACTTATAACTAAAGGGGATCTTGCACATTTCTTAGTTCACGAAACAGCCGCTAGGCGCGCTGTGGAGTTGTTTGCAGCATCAATAGGAATTGGACATAAGACCAGACTATTCCAATTGACTGGATAATTTTCACTGTGTAAAGGAAAAATTAAAAATACAAACGCCTCATAGTAAACAAATTCGAAGTATATTTTTATCACTTGTCCATTTACAATTAAAATCACCCTTTCACCCTTTACCTTTCTTTGTTGGACATAGGACCAGACTACTCCAATTGACTGGATAATTTTCACTGTGTAAAGGAAAAATTAAAAATACAAACGCCTTATAGTAAACAAATTCGAAGTATATTTTTATCACTTGTCCATTTACAATTAAAATCACCCTTTCACCCTTTACCTCTCTTTGTTGCTGTACAAGGCGTTATATTGAAATATTTATGCAGTTTGAATGAAATTGGTCGTTTTGTTTGTGATATATTTCTTGTAACACTTACGAAAAGCTTAAAATTTTGGTTTATTGCAATTTTTATAATAACTTTTATAAAATTGTTCAAATAAACAGATCATAGGAAATGAAACTAGGACATTAAGATGTTACCTCAAGCACGCTATTGATGTTTTCTCATGTTATTTCTCAAGAAAAAGAATTACAGGAATGTTCATAAACTCATGGCATTGAACAACATTCTAAGTAATTAGGAGTTGTGATTGATTCAAAATTGAGATTATAACTTCATTTCGAGGTAGTGTACCATCAGGTACTTGTTCTAAAAATTTAATTCACAGTGCAATCACGCGATAATTTTTTGCGCGATGTACATATATAACATCCATAAAACGTTTTGAAAATTTTCACGATTAAAATACTTCGCCACCAGTAGGCGTGGGAAGTAAATAAATCGTTCAATCGGACAAGCGGTTCTTACACTGAGAACCAAATTTGTCTGACGGCCTGAGTTCCATGTGTACGAGAGAGAAGTGTTTATAGTCACATACAGTAATGGACAAAAGTATATAGACAAATTAATATTGTGCTGTATTTCTTTTTTAACTTGATATATTAATATACCAACCTGTATACATAATTCGCTATAGCATAATACTCACTTATACATAAATAAATTCAGTAAACTTCCGTCAGTAAAAAATTAATTGAAAAAACTGGAACTATGAAGGACAAAAATATATAGACAATTATAGAAAAAAGAAGCAAAGTTCATTGAATTATCGAAAACCAACCATGTTTGTGTTAATATTTTGTAGCATAACCATTATTATCAATCACCGCCTGGCATCGTCTCGGCATAGATTGTAGAAGTTTCTTGATATAAGATTCATCAATCTGCTCTAAAGCGGCAAAAAGTTCATCCTTGTTTGAATAATTTTTATCTCGTATTAGCTTATCTAAGTATTCCCAGAGATTTTCAATGGGGTTTATTTCGGGAGATTGTGAAGACCATTTGAGAACTGGTATTTTTTCATCCAGAAAGAATTTCTTTGCGAGATTTGAAATGAGCTTCGGGTCATTATCTTGCTGGAAGATTGATCTTAAGGGCATATTGTCTTCCATATAGGGTAACATGACGTGCTTCAATATGTCTGTGTATACAAACTTATCCATAATGCCATCTATTCTATGTAAAGGTCCCATCCTAAACCCCAAAAAGCACCCCCAAACTCGCCTTCATGTTTTACAGTGGGCAAAGTGTCCTTGGGGTTCGTAGAAACACTGACAATTCCTTTTGTGTCGATTTCGGCTTTTATTTGTCTTGGAGTTTTAAACGGATCTTTGGACGAAATTACTTTTATTAATCTAACTGATCTAACATTTAGTTTTCTATGCCGACCACTTCTCTTAGAGGCTTCCAATATACCTTTTTGTTTATATTTGTTCAATATTGCCCAAACTGCTTCAGCTTCAAATTTTTGGAAATGTCGACTTGACGTTGACCATCTTTGTATAACTCAATGATCTTAGTTTTCACATCGAAAGACCACGCGGCATGGTCTTAAAATCACTCAACTTATTCCACAATACTTGATGAACACAAACCAATCCTCTTCTGACACGAAACTGTACCAAGCTAATGTTGAAAAGAATTTGTCTACATATTTTTGTCCCTCATAAAAAAGTGCTTATATTCAGACTTGTATTGTTGTGTGTTCATTGCAGATAATGTAAAAACAAGGAATTTAGTTTTTGTACTAATAATGCATTTGTTTATGGAGCAATGAAGTATGAATTCGTTTTCTAAAGATATTTAGGAAAATATTCATATTTATTGTATGTAGAAATAGATTGAAGCCGCCTGGACAGCGAAGCTCATTGGCGCGTTGCCTAGCAACGCTGACGCAGCAATCTGTCGCGTTGCTAATATGTTACATCAGTTCCTTGAAATACGGTGTATGTTGAAAATATCCGTAACGCACGTTTATTCTCTACGCCCAAATAATGATTTTATTTTGAGCGTACACACTTTTCAATTGCGTCGAATCGGTTTAGGATCGATTCCGTATCGGTTCTAACGGCGATCCATTTTAGGTCGATATGAGAGGTAAGGTTCGCCACAAATTCTGCAACATTGCATCATTGGTTCGCTTGACAACGCCGCATCTCGTGCATTTCAAGGTAAGGTTTCCACCTCCATAATCATGGATGAGCGATTTTGGTCAGTATCCGTCTAGTGCTCATTGGGGCGTGTCGACTTGCTCCGAAATGGTTTTCACCTGCGTACACGCAGGCTGTGATAATTTGTATTGCGTAATGATATTTGTTACATTTTCGGACCGCTCGCTGTCGCAAAATGAAACAATAACTCAGCATGTGTTGATTTCTTCACCATCGGTAGAAATTGAAGATAATTCTAAAATAAATTAAAATACTACGTCGCATCAAAATTGAAATAACTAATTCTAATCAAAATTAAAACAAAATTTTAAATCAAATGTTCGAACAGACCTCTTCTTTAGGTTTGACAGTAACAGTTTGACAGATTGCACGACCTTCTGCGCCACCGTTGGTATGCAATGTGGTGCTGACTTTCGCTCTTCAGCCGGCTTCTATCTCTTTCTAACATGTGTTAGAAGCACACTTCTCGCGCTACTCTCTCATTGACCCTAAGTCGTCCGACAAATTTGGTTTCCCTTGCCTTTAAAAGTTTTAGTTACATTTTGTTGGTGAGTTTGAATAGACCATATTGGTTATAGCTTTTTGACCGTGCATTGACTCAATACGACAAACTACGCAAACGAGAAGCGTTCTTGGACCAGTTCCGCAAAGAGGATATGTTCAAAGAAAATCTGAGCGAGCTGGACTCGAGCAGGGAGGTTGTTCAAGACCTGGTTGATGAATACGTCGCAGCTACGTGTGAAAACTATTGTACGAGGGAGCAGACGTGAAGCATGTAATTTTGTTACACCGTTGCCATATGAATTTCGTGTTATAAGTTATGTAATTACTGATTATTGAGATTAAAGCTCAAGCTAATTTACTGAAGATTGTATTTTTCTCAACCATACTGCCCATTTCAGCGGATGTGTGATGAGTGGGGTGATGAGTCTAGGTTTTGCATGTGAAAAGAGTTTGCATCATATATTTAGCGGATCACTTAGCGGCGGTAGCCATATTGTCTTTAGAATGACGTAACATTGCTTATTATGTTTCCCTCATCAAGTCCTTTCATTTGATACCCATACTATACAGGCGACCATGGAAATTATAATTATATTCATATTATGACCAGCCCTGTATTAAACACCGCGTCCATATCGGTTCTGCCTATACGGAAATGTCACTACTGTCATTATTCATGTGGATTCTGGCCAGTCGACGTATTCCGTAAACGATATTCTTGTTTACTGGCGCTATTTTGGTTCAAATTGGTGCTGGAGTATGTGTATTTTGAATAATAATAATAGACGTCTTTATTTCTTTACATTTTAATGCAGCTAGGGTAAGACTTAAATGGTGAAATTTTGCGTTAACTACTCTTATATTTAACCCTACAAGACACAAGCAGATGTTAATAATGAAATTTTATTCACAACAAATTTAAATTTCTGGTAATAAATCATTACAGTAAAAAGTAGAAAAGCAAAAAATGGTTTGGAAAGTAAAAATGGGATCATTGAATATTGATAATTTCAGTTTTTTTCGAAAAGCTGGTAATGAGAATTTTGATAAACAATTGTATATGGTGGCAACATTGTAGGAGAAACTGCGTTGAAGTAGGGTTGTTGATTACTGAGGTATCCTGTTAGTTTTATCTCAAAGTGGTCTAGAATGAAAATCGTTGTCAATTGAAATTTTTTTCGCAAGTAAGGCGGTTTAGACGTAAAAGTAGTAATTCATGAATGGAAACTGAACCAAATTATTCATTTTCAACCAATTGAGTATTTGATGTTTTGCTGATACTATACTACAACTATTTAAAACTGTAATGACTCATACGCGTGATCAACACGTGATCAGAGCTCGATCCCGGCTTCCTTCCAGTACAGCCGTATAGCGTACGACATATGTCGTTTCTGTGGCTTTGCGGTGGTCAATAGCACAGACAGAGATGGAAATAATGGCTGATTGTTCTCCGCCGGTAGAACCAATGAAATCAAAGACGCGCCTCGACCGGCAGACTCATAGGCGTCGGCAACGCATTGGAACGTGTTTCGTTGAGCGATCGCATATTGTGTGTTTTTATAAGAATTATTGTGTGATTGTTATTGTTGTGGTTTCTGTGGTTACTGTTTTGGTTATACTTAACCATGGAGAGTACAAATGGCACGAGTGGAAGTACTGAAAGCCAGGGAACAAGTAGACGGCTTCGTAAAGCACTGAAGAGGGATGCGAAAAAAATCGTGCTCAACGTGTTCAATTATCTGAACAGAACTATGTCGCAGGGAGATGCACTCGCGCGTTGTGAAAGTATGACAGGCGTTCCAGAGTGGACCATTCGCAGGGTGGTGCATGAAAAGAAGAAAACTGGAGCTACTACTGATCCAAAGTTTAATTTGAAGGAACGAAATGAAATTATACCCCAAATCAGCGTCGAGGTAATGAGGAAATCCCTGCACGAAATTAATTTTCGTTACGAAACGCGTAATCGGAAGTCAGTATTGATAGAGAGACCTGAAATAGTCGCCTGGCGTCGAAAATACCTACGCGAAATGATTGAATATAGGCGACAAAGCAGAAAAATCTATTATTTGGACGAGATATGGGTAAATGCAGGTCACACAGTTAAAAAACACCTGGATAGACAAAAACGTAGTGAGTAACCGACAAGCAAGCATTGAAGGTTTTTCAACAGGTCTTCGTGGACCGTCAGGGAAAGGTCAAAGATTGATCGTAACTCATATTGATAGCGATAGTGGCTTTTTAGAAGAGTGTGACTTGATTTTCGTCTCTAAGAAAGGAGGTGATTACCATAACGAAATGAATGCCAGCTGCTTCGAGAGCTGGTTTCAAGGGGTGCTTCAGCGAGTTGAGCCCAACTCTGTGATCGTCATAGATAATGCTTCCTACCATAGTCGTCGAGCCGAACGTGTACCGACTATGGGATCTCGAAAAAGTGACATGCAGCAATGGTTGCGCGAAAAAGGAATCCCGTTTGACGATTCATCTGTGAAAGCGGAATTGTATGAAAAAATTAAACAGCACAAACCTGCGAACATTAGTTACGTGACTGATGAGATGGCCCGTCAATGTGGTGTCACTGTGCTGCGGTTACCGCCCTACCACTGTGAACTGAACCCAATAGAGCTCATCTGGGCTCAAGTGAAGGGTTATATTGCGCGCCATAACACAACCTTCAAATTACCAGACGTTAAGGTTTTTTTTAGACTTCCATACAGCTAGTAACGCCCGAAGCTTGGCAGAATGCTATCCGTCATGTTGTGAAGGAAGAAACAAAAATGTGGCAGCTTGACCACCACATCGACACCATCATAGAGCCAGTTATAGTCAATTTCAACGAGGAAAGCGATAGCGACAGTTTATTACTGTCAGATGTAAGTGGAAGCGACGGTGAATAAAGGTAATTCCCAAATTTTTGACTTACAATATGTTTTAAACCACTCTTTATTAAGCATGTGACAAATCTAGTTCACCCATGTTAAACATTCATACCCCGCCTATGAACAGCCGACTACTGGTAGTTAAGTGATGTTCACGTGAACATCGATGAGTCATTACAGTTTTAGATAGTTATAGTATAGGGTTGTCTCCAAAAAACGCTGTAAAATTGCCGTGCGTGATGCTAGGCGAAATCTGGCAACACCATCGTGTGTGTCGGTTCCCCCACCACAGATCCCAACAAGAAGCGCCTATTTGCGATGCTCAGTACAGGACGGACAGCCAATCGTGCGGTCATACGATTTTTGCACGGAAAAACGTTACCACCCATAGAAATAGTGGGGCGTTTCCAACGGCAAATTCGTTTTGTTAAATAAAGAACAGATATAACCAATTATTTATATAATTTTTTACGTAACTTGTGATTTAGTAGTAGATCTTTGGAATTGGAGCATGTAGCCCTAAGGCTACATGCTCCAATCTAAATAAGCTTCCTCTGAAAGACTTTTGAGATGTTCGATGAATATTTTGTGTCAAAAACAATACCAAGAATTTTTGCAGATTCGGAGAAGTGCAAGTTTTGATTACCTTCAAGGGTGACGTTAAGTCATCCCTTTTTTGGACACAAAATAATATTTTAGACCTTTGACTGTTGACAGCCAGATTATGATCAGATGAATATTGGATTAAATTATTAACACCTACAGTATTTTCGACATTCTGGGGATTGAAATAATGTAACAATTGTGTATTGTCTGTGAAAGACTGGATATGTGAATTATCGAGGATTTTGATCAAGTCAAAAGTCAGAAATCATAACGGTCCAGCACAGAACCTTGAGGCATCCCTGAAGGAAGTGTAGTCACGTGAGAGAATTTTTGATCTAAAAAATGAATGAGCTAAGATATCAACACATATGTAATTTAATTTAGACAGCAGTAATGCATGGTTTAACCCTTCGGAAAAGATATAAATAAGACAGTTTGATTTTTAAACTTTATTTTTCATAGTCAAAATATAATAATATAACCCTTATAGATATGATATAAGCAAAATTGGACACACTATTATGGAAAAATGCAACGAACACAGCAAACTTGCATGTAGAATGGTTCTGCAAAAAATTCACTGTAGGAATTTTAATGAAAAGAAGAACATGAATTCTCATAGGAACGTTGAGGAGAAAAATTATCAAGGTAATTCCTCCAAAATGCTCCCTCACACAGTGTCTTTGCTTATAAAATGAAAAACAACTATAAATATTAATTACTGCTCACAGTCTTTTTACATTCATATGTTACAAAAAGAGGGAAACGTTTTAAAGGAAAACATTTATGTAACACATATATACAATAATATACAAAAAGAAGAAAACACATTCATAAAAAATGTTTGGAACAGGGAGGCGGTTCGAGGGACTTCCATTCACGCCCTGGGTTCTTTAATAGTGAACTTTAATTTATAGTGGAAATTTCCTAGATTTGTATTTATATAACGTCACTTTTCAATAGATCTCATCTCCATCGACAAGTCTGAAATTCTTAAATAATAATGTTATATTGGTGATATCACTTTTCGAAAAAAGGAATCAAGTATTTCATTTGAAACACACGAAACCTTTTTTGAATGAATAGCAAACCAAAACATCTTTCCACTACATTTAAAAAATATGATCGACTTTTGAGGTCCAGAGAATTCCACTAGTTATAAGAGTTCTTAAACCAATCCAAACAGAAGTTCGAAGACAGTGTAAAATTTTATGAATATGTTCGAAAAATTCCCTTAGCTACGATATATATTTTATAAACATTATATTACACGAAAATTGTTGGCTGTATCAGAAAAAATCGTGTTACATACATAAAAAAATATGCAAGTTACACTAAAAACAACATATTTTATATTTTCCATTCCTCCGTTTCAACATTCTTATATCATCTAATCTTTGTCACTATTCGTATATGTACACTCTACATTTTTTGTTTAAAATATACCTTTCCATTTTGTTTGTATACCCTTCGTACATCGCTTTCAGTTTCAGTCATATCATATTTTTTTCCAAAATTCACGACATAATATCAAGTGCAGATACAAATAATTGCTTTTGAACCAGGACCTGTTTCAGGTGTACTTGATATCTAATTGCGAATGAAAATATAGTTTGCTGGAAATGGATGTTTTTGTGACGAAAACAACTTTTATTTAGATTTTTTAATTAAACTTCGAGGGTCATGTCTAGACCAAACCTACACCTTTGGATTCAAGTCCATTCAAGGTAAAAAAATGACTGTGAAACTAAAATCTGTTACAGTCACCAAAATATTAATAATGTTATCTAGAATGGTAGGAAGCAGTTATAGTATCTGCTACTTGAGCATATCGGTAAAAAATCAATCTACTCTTTTTTTGACATCTCCGAGTACCAAATA